ACTAAGCTAGCAGTTAATTAATCCCTAGTCTATCTGCTACTAGCTGTATTATATAGCTAACTAATATAGCACTATACTGCCTAGAAGAAAAAGCCTCTATAGTATTATTTATAATTATTCTAATAGCTATTTCTTTAGTAAAAAGGATACTATTAATACTATCTTACTTAATAATAATAGTAAGGACTTAAAGTAGCTAAGGTATAAGGCTAGGTGCCTCTAAGAGGCCTAGTATAATAATAACCACTATAGCCTTATTAGGCTAATTGCCTTTAGCTATAAGCTCCTCTTGCTCTTTATAATGCATTTTTAAACCTATAAGCTAGACCAGATAGTAATAGGGCTTAAGCAGGAGCTTAAGCATCTAAGGGAACTTAAGAAGAGGCTTATAAGATAGCTTAATAATATCTATTATAATAAAGTTACCTTCCTCAAGGAAGTCAGGTTAAACTATAGGCATAAGGCCTAGTATTAATACCTTAGGTTATAGGTAGCCTAGGCTAATAAGCCCTTTAATAACGCTATTATTAAGTTAATTAAAGATAAGATTATAAAGTATGCCGCTAAGGTAGCTAAAGTGATAAGGGCGTCTATAGAGGAGGCCTTATAAGCTAATAGCAGAAGCTATATATAGGGTTAACTGAAGGTTAATCTGGGGATTATATCGGGGATATAGAAAGTTAAAATGCAGGCTAACCCGGATGCAAAAGCTCTGTAGGAATTAATCCAGTTATATAATATACTATCTTAAAATTCTATTATTAAACTTACACTGAGATACTAAAATTTTAAACTATATTTTAAACTGAGGATTAATAATATATATAATATATAATAAAAGCCTTTTCCCTTTTCTATTAATACTATTAAGAGTTAAACCTTAAATCTAAATTAAGACTATTACTATTAGCCTTATAAATATTATACTGCTTTAAATTTTTATATTAGCTATTGCCTTAACCCCCTGCTCTTACTTACTTACTAATAGGAGTAATACTATAACTTTCTTAAAGTAAGATTAATCTTTAAATTAGGTTTCTAGCCTAATTAAAAAGGCAAAATATAAAAACTAATTATAAAATAATAAATAACTACCTAATTAGCTAGTCTGAAAAGAGTATTTAAAAGACTACTCTATTTTAATTACTATAGAAAATCTTTAAATTAAATTTAAGGTTAAATCGAATTTCTACTATAATATAAAAGCCCTTATAGTCTATTTATATAGGGGATTAGGGAAAATAGCAGTAATACTATGCCCGACCTAACACTGATAGGGCCTTCTATATCTAGGCGGCAGAAGTTAATAGAATAGAACATAAAAATACACCAATTCACATCAATTAACCGAATACAGGTAATGTCTAACAATTGACCGCCTTTATGAGAGTGATCTCTATAGGCTGCCGCACTGTATAACAGAATTGGGATAAGAACTCAATTGAATGACCTCGGTCGACACAGCCCTGAAAATGATCATTCCGGGGTCCTTTGAATTAGTCAGAGCCCTACTGTTGTCCATTCGGCACCGTTAAACCTTTCCCTTCAAGCAACGATCTCAAAGGTCACCTTTACGCCAAGATGGTCAGTAACCCACGGCCTTTCAAACCCAATAGAAAGCAATTCCTTTCGAAATTCTTCTTCTTCTTGGTCTAGTTCCAAATCAGCACCAAATCTCTCAAATACTTGAAGTCTAAGGCTATCGCCACAGAAAAACGCTTTATCCATGCGTGAATAGCCATACAGTAGACGCAGCTCAGGTAAAGTTTGTTGCCCCCACGTATATCCCCCATATTCGTCGAACCTTCCATCGCCCTCTTGGCCGCCAAGTTTCAAGTATGCATCTTCAAGGTTGTTGTCTGAGTGGAGAGACCTGTCAAATGGCTGAATGGCGTTGAAATCGCCTGTAACGACGGCACCCGCGATACCTTCGGCGTGTAAGAAAGTCGCGATAAGACGCATCTGTGCTGGGCGCATGGGTGGATCCATTACAAGAGATTCGAGGTGTGTATTGCATAACCGTATCTTTTGTCCCCCTGGTGACACTGAAACGTCAATGAATAGTGCATCTCGTTCCATTTGGGTAGCCGAGTAGTGCACTCGAAAGCAAGATGATATCTCGAGCCGGCGGTCTATTAACGAAGCGGTGCCATATGCGCCAGAAGCCCAAGCCGAGGTATCAATGTCTGTGCAGTAAAAGCTGTCCCGGATCCAGTCCTTTTCGCCGATAGTCTCCAAGTCCAACGGTGTACACTCTTGGAGGTTGATAGCAATCGCTACATCATTATCAAGTCGATGCTGGCGAGTAAGCTCCTCCAGGTGCTTCAGAGCAGCGTTCATGCGAGCCTCGCCATGAGGCAGCATAAAGTCGATGTTCCAGCTATATACCGCCAGCTTTATCAAATCGGACTTGTCGAACGATGACTGTGATGACTGGATACCCTGCCATCTACTTGTCTCTGGGCTCCATCCATAGAAGGATTGCTTCCATGGTCGGTCATTTTGCCACGGAATTGAGGACGTTGACTTCCTCATTTCCATTGTGTGTTGAATCGACTTCTGAACAAATTCTTCCATATTCTTTAGAGAAGATGGGTGAAGTTGTGTTTTTCGTTGGATATACCTGATATTTAATATGATTCTACGATAATAAGAGATCAGACTTCGTCGTGCGAGGTCACCAGGAAAAACACAATGCGAAAGCTCAAATTCCAAGACGAAGGTTAGAACGATTACTGACTATGTCCGAGAGATCCGGGTGCGGGGTAGCCTATTATCTGACGGAAGATCAGAGGCAGCACACGCTAGTCATAAATGAGTGAGTTCATTCCGCCCGGGATGATACGCCTTATATGGCCCACAGAGTTAAGTCTCGTTAACATTATTTTCCGGCGTCCAGCTCTGAACCCTCAAACCTCACCAATTCCTACTCCTCGCCACATTTCACCGCCCCGCTCGACCCTGAGATAGACCTGCTTTAATGCTAATTTCTCCAAGTGTTCGGCCTCCACTCATGCCTGTCTTCTACCGTCCTGTCTTTCAGGACGAATGATAAATGACCCATCATTTCCCGATCTATATTTCGCATGTGTTATCGCTGACTATCCCACGGTAGACACGGAAGAGGAAACGGGTCACCGTTTCTTCTTCCTGGCCGCAGCCGCATATCCCTGTCTCTACTGCGCCTCTCCTGTGCAGATACCTGTTGATCCGTGCCATTCCGTTCGTGGTTACACCAAGATGTCAGCTTTGCGTCTCTTCACGGCGTCATATCTCCTGAGTGCACATAAGGCTCCAAGGAGGTCACGAAGAGGGGTTATAACTAATTAAAAAGTGTCAAATTAAAGGTATAAAATTCCTCGCCTATATTACACAGAAAATGAAGTCCTAAAAATTCCAGTTATTATAAATTGCTATATCACAGATTTAGCAGCTATACTAAGTCTGCTTATATAGCTTCCTCTTTGTATTCTCCTTATTACCGCTAACCTCTGTAAGTGGGCTCTATTCTATAGCTTTTGCCCCTATCTCTCCCTGCTAATACCTCTATTAAGCTAGGCAGCTTAATATAATATTGCAATTAATATAACTAATATCACGATTTATTTATTCCCTCTATATTTCAAGGTCTTATAGATTATATATATTGCCTACTCAGTAATACTGCCTTGCTTAATTATAATAAATATAGGCATTAAATAATTTATTATAAATATACTCTTATTACTCCCTTTAATTTATATATCTTTTTAAATTTAATTGCAGTCTATTAAGTTAAGTGATATAACTATTAATACGGACTATATTAAGGAGGAAAGTTTATAGAAGTGCCTGCTATATACTATAGCATAGGAAATAACTATGCTTATAATATAATCTTATTTAATTAATATAGTTAATATAATTTATTTAGTTATTATACTTAGCAGCCGCTATTATATATTAATTATCTTAATAGCTTTATTACTAAAAAAGCGGCATATTAGCTCAAGCTCTAACTTTTTTAACAACGGCTTCTTTGTCTGCCACAGCGATGACCTCAACTCAATTATCAATTCAAGTATTTCAGGGAAGTCAAGTAAGTCGATGACCCAGTTTATTTCAAGTAAGCAGGTTCATAATGCTTCAAACTTGGTTTATCTGAAATGCTAGATATTATGGATTTTCCTATGTGACAGCCTTGTGAATGTTGAGGCTGTTCAGAGTCCCAGGCATAGAGTTAGAAATTGAGTCTAGTACCTCAGTTGATATCACTAATGGAACTCAGGAATGTGGAAGGGGTGGCGAGACTACGTGTGTTGCGTTCGCTCGCGTAGTAGAAACACCAGGTTTAGAACTAACGTCGCTCCCTGGTGAGAAATATCTATATTTCGCGATTCGCCGGTAACCCGCTATAGCAGGACAACAACAGTCGTTAGAATCGCTTTTAGGAATTAGTGGCCAGCGCAAATCACTCAAGCAGCAGCTTGACGCTGCATCCATCAAGACTAAGCGGGAAGAACGACCCTCACTGATCTCCCAACTGTCCAGATCGGCTGCAAGAAATATATACCAGAAGGGTACATTACCAATAAGAATCGCAAAGGTCGAAAAGGCTGGATCCAAGCCCATGACTTCTTTCTCACAGAAGTCGTATTCAACGAAGAATGCAGGTTCCTCGATTATTGACCAGCACCATTCAGAGACCTCGTCTACGCAGGAGATTCGCCAGTGGCTATCCACGGTTATGGGAACGTGGAAATTCGTTGTTCAAGGACCCAAAGGGTCATCTATCCTCAGATTGTTTGATCTTGCTCACTGCATAAAATTCACCTGCAATATCGTCTCATACCCCCAGTTGCGGAAAAGAGGCTACTACTGGGACACAAAGGGAAACAACCATATCTGCAGAAAAGGCGATTCAATCCTCTCCATGTTAACCGACCATTTCGACCAGTACATACTGGAGTATATCGACAAGTCAACAATAGCAGCAGCATTCCAAGCCAAACGGAAACAATATGATTTATGGACTAAGCGCCCTCCTCGCAGTGGAAATGAAAACCTTTGGTACCTTGGACTTAGACACCTTGCGGGCCAATCGGGGGGCGAAGATCAAGGGGATCTCTACGGTTGAGTGTGATGCTTGTGGAATAGCCAAGGTGAAGTGGCAGGTCCGTCGACAGAGACGAGTTCCACCTGAGAAGGCGAGGATTCAACTAGTTATTGATTTTCATGACATTAGTGGGGATCCCGGCTACACTTCAGCTATGCTGGATACCGATCGCTATTCTGGCTATATTTGGGACTATCATCTTCCCGATCAAACTGCACCAACGCTTCTTAGCGCACTTAAACATCTGCTTAGAACACTTGAGCGCCAACTCCAGTGCAAGCCTGCAGTCATCGAGTGTGACAATGAGATCCCAGATAGTCACCAGGTAAGTGACTTCCTTAGTATCTAGAACGGGATGCGCGCCATACACTCAAAGTCAAAACGGTGGCGCAGAGCGCTTGGGGGGTATGATCAAGGAGAAATCTTGTGCAATAAGAGCTGGAGCAAAGCTACCTTCCTTCCTTTGGGTTGAGATTTGGCGCGCTGCGGTATACCTGTACAATAGGACACCCAAGTATATTGATAACTGGAAGACACCATATGAGCGCTTCTACACTTACCCTGCCTTTAGGGACAGCGTTGTTGTCACGGAGCGTTAGCTCGATCAGACACACCTTCAAGTATATGGTTGCAAGACCTTCGCGATGACGACCGATGCTCTGCAAAAGAAGAATCGACGACAGCGGCTCGACCCCCGAGGATAGATAGGATACCTGGTCGGGTACAACTCAACAAATATCGACGGGGTTTGAAATCCTTTGACCAACAAGGTCATCTCCATGAGAGATGTGATCTTCAACGAGAAGGAAACGTTCTCTGGGGATACTCAAACACCTCAGGGATGACCTTAGAGAACTTGGTGAGGAAGAACTTATCCAGCGCCTCACCGAAGCCGAGGTCCCACAGGGATCCAGCATCAATCTGGATGCTTCAACCCAAGAAGAAGACGAGGAACTCAGCGCCTTGCCAGAGGGACTAGCGTTTGAGCGGGAGGTTGCGAGTCATCCACCTGAAGGGTTGGAACGCGATCTGACGATCACGCAGGGTGAGAATGGCAGGAAACCAGTCGCAGGAGGTCGTAATCGAGATGATCCTGACGGGACTGATCACCTCTACACGACCGCACGATTCGCTCCTACCTGATCCCGAAGACTTGCCCTCTACGGCCTGCTGCCCTTCTGGTCGCTGGTATCAGAGAACCTCCCGCGAGGAAGGGAGGACCCCCCTCAGTTGCGACCTGCTAAGATGGTGCATGTCCCACCTAGCGCTGGCACTTCCCCAGGACGAGACGGTGCAAATGGAGCCCCTCGTGTCATCTCAACTCCGATCAGTTGCTGGGAGGCCGCATTTAATGCCAGTCAACTCGCATCTGTGAAAGGGACCTGGGATGGCAAGGTGGCAAATAAGCGGAAGCTTGTGAAGCTTGTGAGCTCGGCCGGCTGCTACCCTAACGATCGGAAAGCGCGGGAGTCTACTAAGCAGATGGACTCCCTCAATAACAAAACACAATCTGCAAAGCTGACAGATTTAGGTGACGGTCAGCACCGAATGCACCGGAAATATATGCTGGCATTACCAAAGTGGCATAAAGACCTCGAGACCCATCCACTGGGGTGACCTATTCCGCGAGGCAGAAAGACATATCTTTGGAGCCATAGAGTGATGCACTACTGGCATGAGGTTCAGCGAAGAAGCCGCAGGCAAGGAACTCCTAGACTGCATGTGGGCCTACATGTACAATTTCGATAGGCATGGGCGGTTCACCAAATGAAAGGCGCGTCTCGTTGTACGAGGCGATCAACAAACAATGTCAGCTCACGAGGATATCTATGCAACTACACTCGCCGGCAGATCCTTTAGAACGCTTATGGCTATAGCTGCTCGTTTCGATCTGGAACTCTTCCAGTATGATGTTTTTAACGCTTTCGTTAATGCTAAACTGAAGCAGGATGTCTATATGCGGATGCCTTGGGGCTACTGAAAGCCTAGACTGATTCTCAAGCTCTAGAAAGCTCAATATGGCTTGCGCCAGTCACCATTGCTGTGGCAGAAAGAACTAACCACTACTCTTGGGAATTTTGATTTTAAACTATACCTCACGAGCCATGCTTTCTCGTGAAGGAAGGCATAATTATATTCTTATATGTCGATGACCTGATTTTTGCCTATAAAAGGAGAAATCAAGATATGGTCGACTGGACAGTAGGCAAGCTTTGAAAAAAAAAAAACATTTACTCTTTAGGGGGATATACTATAGTGATTTCTTGGGATCGAAGTGCCTGGCGGTCGAAGTGAACACTTGATGTGGCTCTATTAATCGTCTTTCATTGATAAGATCATCAACGATTTTAGAATCCAAGGAGGAAAAGGTTCCCCTACCCCAATGACCACTGAAGAACCGTTTCCACATGAAGAATATGCAACAGCAGCATCACTGCATGAGTATAAACACAAGACCGGATCCGTATTTTACTTGGCAGTGAATACTCAACCCGATATCGCCTTTGCTGTGTCTCGACTTTGTCAATTCAATATAAACCCGAGCGAGCAACACCATGAGGGCGTGAACTACCTACTCCGATATCTTCGAAGCACCAAAACATTTAAATTATAACTCGGTAAAACTGACACCTTCGACGTCTACAGTTTTACTTATATTAATAAAGTTACAGAATAAAATCCTAATTAATAATAAAATATTAAATTATAATATTAAACTAGTGTAGGAGACACCTATTAGTAAGAATATATTACTTTAACTTTTATTAATAAACAAGTATATCTTATTTAAGGAGAATTCCTTTAAGCAATTTATATAAAGTAGATAACGCAAGATAGAACATCAGTAGATCCGCAGTTCCTATTCCGCTATAGTTCCTATTCCGCTGCAGTTCCTGTTCCGAGAGTTATGCCTTTAGGAACAGTTACAGCGCAATCAGTTATTTCTAAGTGATACGCAGTAACATGAGCTAGGAGTCGATAAGTAACCCGAAGTCCTGAACTAAGAAATGAAAGGTTTTGCAATAGGAAGGGAATTGCATCGATGAGAACCTCGCATTTCCGCATCTGGAGTGGCCTGTAGTGACGAAAAGCAATTGCTCGCTTGCCCATCTGTTGTCAAACCAAAAACAAAAAAAAAAAAAAACGATCTCCAACAAGATAGATATATGCCAATATTAAAAAGTGAGCAGCTGCCGTCAGACATTCCATGCTGTGTAACTGTTGCCTTTTGTAATAAAACACAAACCCAAGTTAGCTGCTCATTAAGATTTGGCCTGTGTAAATTTCCTAACTCCCAAAACAACACAGTTAGTCCACCAGGATATTGCCCATCTTTAGCGAAACGTACATCCAAGACTTTTGCACGCAATTACATTTCTTCAAAAGCTCCTCACAACGGTCTAACCGTGCCAGTATTTCCTTCACGGGTTTGCGACGGCTGCGCTTGGGAGCTGGCGTACTTGGGATGCATTCTATTCCGGCCTACCAATAGTTAACTTGTGTCTTACATAGGTGCTAGACAGTTTACCTTGGTGCAAAATGAACATGGACTTTTGCGATCGCACTTCTTCTTGCGTTGGTGACAGAGCACACAAGCGAGAATACGTGGTGAACGTTGTTGTTCAGGTACCATAGTTATTTAATGAATACAGAATGAAAGCAATAAGAAGACTGGTGATGGTTTTCCGAAAGTCCTGATTCTATTGGGATCTATCCGAAGGGGACAAGCCGGGTATTTTCTACATGCGCTTCACACCCAATCTTGACCTGCTACTCTCCATCCCTTCGGCAGCGGGCTCTCGACACTATCCGATCTCTACTCGGGATCGGGAAGTCGAAGGGATCCGCGAGCTAACGACCGGGTTTCACACACCTTTGGTGCAACCAGGACGGCAACGGCCAGGTTAAGCTTGGTATTAACGTGATCTACAAGCGAGTGGATCACACAATTCAATGGATAAAAAAATCTCTCAGCCTACATTATTCATGTTGGCGCATCGTCGTCTGCAGAATGCTGCACACCGATTAGAGATGTAGCATATGTCTTCTGATCGGTTTTATCCATGCTGTATGCAGTAAATGGAGGTTCGTAAGTGCTGGGCTTGCTGCGAGCCTGCACTTTCTTTACAGGGGACTGCATAGTTAAAGGGGCTTGAATATTTGTATTAGGTGCTTTATTTAGCTTCATTGGAATGGCTTAATAGTTTATGGATTGGGCAATGATTGCAGCGCTCATCATATGTCAATCAAATCAACTTTGACCTCAAAGTTGATTTGATTGATTTGATTGATTTGACATATGATGAGCGGTGCTGCTCGATGCTGCTCTTGATAAGGAGGAGCATATCAAACGGTGTCAGGACAAGTACTACGACGTCCTTGCTGACGAATACTTAGCACCACAGGATTGGCAAAACCTTCGTGAGACGCGGAACTTCTTACAGCTGTTTTAGAAGATAACTCTCCTCTCTAAGGGGTATCGTACAACGCTCGATCGTATATTATTTACCATAGATGTTCTTTACAAGCATTACCAGCAAGCATTCAACAGATATAAGATAAACTAACAGGTACTTAGGTATAGTATTGACTAGCTGGCATATCTTTAATAAATACTACCGGCTTGCCGATAAGAGCTCGGCATATGCTGCATCGCTAATTCTCCATTTATCCTGAGGAAAGGTTTATAAATAGAAACATTGGCTAAAGGCCCGGCATAAGAAGATCTTGCCAGGGGTGAAGAAGTTGAAGGACGGCGAATATAAGAACCTGCCAACCGTTTATACTACCCCTTCCGTTATTCCTGCACTGGAACTGGATAGGTATAACCAGCTTGCAAAGGAACTTAATATTACAGGCACAGAGCCCGGCATTTACGAACACAAAACCTACACCTCTCAGCCGCCTATTCCGATTGACTGCTTCCCCCTTGACTAGTGGCTCTATGATGGTTAAAATGATCACTTTTCCTAACTGTTAAAGATAGCAGTATACATTCTCTCAATACCAGGCTTATCTGCAGACCCTAAGCATAGACTCTCTGGATCGCGGCATATAATTTCGTGGGATCGAATGCTCTTTGGAGCATCGACAATTGAAAAGGTGGAGTACTTGGAGAGCTGGATTAGCAGTGGTAGAACGGCGAGGCTATGAATAGACGAGGTTAAACCATATGAGTACATAGCAAAGAAGGGAAGCATCAGCGCTCTAAAGGAAGATGTGGGCTATTGACCGGTTTGGCATCATTTGCCGCATAGACAGTATATGGTTTAGTTCGACAAACGAGAAAAGATTATAAACCATAAACCATTCACATCCGTTTGGCGTATGGAGTATGATTAGAAAGCCTGCATTGTGTGCTATAGAATGGCCGAAAGCAGGAAAAGGGAAGACGGAAAGGGAATACCCGAAAGGGAGCGGAACGTAAGACTGTTCTAAAGTTTTAAGTTAGTTCCGGCAAATCCCCTGTTCCGAAAATCGGAACATGAACTAGAGACAACCAACTATGGAAGCATAGATATGTAGAGTGTTTTATGCCCGAGAGAACAAATCACATAGGGCCAGCAGGTACGCTAAGACATTTATGATTCCTCCGTATTGATCCGGTCTAAGAACGTATACCTGCACGATTACCTGTACATACAAGACGCTCAATAGGCGAAGTGCAAAGACTAGTGGTGACCAGCTAAGGAACATATTGCAACAGCGTTTTCTATGTGCCGATAATCCCGAGTTTTATGAGTATACGGCTGAAAGTTTAATTTCGGCGATCATCGTATTGAAGCCGTGAAATTCACTTCTTGAGGGTTTATTTACCCCATGATTTCTGTGGTTTATATGGCAGTGTACATAAGACCCTAGCGCCACCCAAGTTTCCAAGAAAAAGAAAAGAAAACTTCCTCACATCACCGTTCACCATCAAGTCGACTTCAACTCGATAACCCTTTCATTTCATTCTGTCCAATCTCTGAATTTACACGGTAACATGTTAACACATAGCGACGATCTAGTAACGTCATCCCTGACTTCACAGGTAACAGGCATGAATCTCCAACAGGACGAGGGTGCTATGGCCAAGACGACCAAAGTCGTTGAGCCTAATACAGCGCAGAACGCCGGCAAAGAGCCGGAGCTCGAGGCAAATCTTCCCCTGGCCTTGCAGCAACCAGAACCCCCTAACGGCGGCGTCGCCTGGCTCGTCGTTTTAGGAGCATGGTGTGCCTCATTCTGCAGCTTTGGTTGGATCAATAGTGTCGGAGCATTTCAGGAATATTATCAGAATGAACTACTCCCCAATTACTCACCGAGTACTATCTCCTGGATTCCCTCGCTTCAGATCTTTTTCATGATGGCCATGGGACCTATTGTCGGCAAATTGTATGATTCTTATGGTCCTCGGTATCTGGTCTTTGGGGGATCGCTTCTTCATGTTTTCGGCCTAATGATGACATCCCTCGCTACTAAGTATTATCAGATTCTACTTAGCCAGGGTGTCTGTTCTGCTATTGGCGTTGCTGCCATTTTCCAACCTGGTAAGAATAGTATTTGCCTTCACTTTAAACAAAGGCTAATTCTTTCTTAGCTTTAAACGTTATCCACGATTGGTTCACCACAAAGACCGGAACTGCTTTCGGCCTTATGGCCACAGGCTCAAGTCTGGGTGGCATCGTCTTCCCAATCATGGTTGCTCGCCTCATCAAAGACATTGGCTACAGCTGGACCATGCGTATCTGCGCCTTCCTTATCCTCAGCCTCCTCATCATTGCTAATCTAACGGTGCGTGCGTACCGCAGACCTCAACCGGCCAAATTTAGCCTCAATCAAATAAAGCAGCTATTCAAGGAGCCGGGGTTTATCTTATGCCTTCTAGGCTTCTTCTGCTTTACTTTTGGAATCTATATTCCAATTACTTATCTGCCTGTCCAAGCACTCGAGATCGGTGTAGACGCATCTATTACCAATTATCTTATCCCTATACTCAACGCAGGAAGTCTTTTTGGGCGTATCTTATCCGGCTTCGCAGCGGATCGCATTGGTTGCTACAATACTTTCACCATTGTATGCTATCTTACTTCAATTTGGATCCTTGCTCTTTGGATTCCTTGTACCACCACAGGCGGAATTGTCGCGTTTGCTGCGCTTTTTGGCCTCTGTTCTGGCGCCTATGTCTCACTTATCTCCCCTTTGGTTGCGCAGATTTCGCGCATGTCTGAAATCGGCTTCCGTACGGGTGTTCTTTATTCCGTCTCCTCCATCGGTGGTCTTACGACGAGCCCTCTCAGTGGTGCAATCATTGATGGTGCTGGTGGGTGGACGGGTGTTAAGGTTTTTGCTGGCGTCCTTTGTCTGGCTGGCACTACGTTTATCCTTGCAGCAAGACTCTACAACACCGGCTTTAAGCTTGCTGTTGTTTTTTAAATGTATTGATGATTCCTTGGAAAGTATGTCTATCCCACGAGCTATGGAGAACCTTCCGGCCGTACCGAGCCCAACATCTGCCCCAACTTTAAAGTGTATATGAAGGAAATCGTATTCCCTCAATCATCGAAAGGCTCCCGCCAGGTCACTCCAGGTATGTCTGCCCAACTGAAATGCGAGAAGAAAAGGTATATTATTCTCCATCTAAATTAGCCCATTGTAGATATTCCGACAATACTTTGAGTTACAAATCGCGACAACACACTGCTCCTTATTGAGAATGGGCGCCAAAGGCTTCTTTAAACTTCCTGACCTTGACTGCACCTACCCGGTGACCCCGACAAACAACGCAATCAGCTTTCCCCTCCTTCAGATAAGTTTTTAGTATGCCATAAGCGTAGATTCGTCTCCAGGCCGAAACATCTGCCTCGGTTGGCTTTCTGTCGCATAGTAGACATAATCTTCACGGCCTCGGGAAACCACTGTATTAGTAATCTAGCTATATGTTTTAAGTAACTCTACGGGATGGAATGTTAGAAAATCCGGGAATCCCCCTCATCTTCAGGATTTAGACTGTTAGTCTGAAAGTCGTAGATAAAATTATCTAGAGATATAAACCCGAAAAGAACTCTCATATTAATAATAAACAATTGAGTTTCAAAAAGCATACTTTCACCCAGCACTACTGCGCAATATAAACAACATAGAATACCCTACACAAGAAAAGAAGAAGGTAAAATCAATCAACACATCTGCTGCCGCTTAACACATTTACTTTAACCCTTAAAGCACGCTTAGTGCGACACTTTTCCCATGGAACCCCTTGAACAGGACGTCATAGATACGTCGGCGCCAGTCCTGTTGGCTCGTGTATTACATCTAGTTAGGCTGTCTGTTGCATTATAGCAGTTAACTATTCACAAGGATTATATAAAGTAAGAGGATCCAAATTAGAGCCTGCTGAGCGCCGCGGCGGATAGATTGATTACAGCCTTAATATGCCCTCATCTGGTCTCTACAATCTACAATCGACAATCGACATGGTTTATCTCATCATTATATCTAGTAGCCACTGTAGGAATTGATATTGTTCAACGAATCGTATGCGCCTTAGTGTCCTTGATTGTACTTTTACTTTGAGACTCTCCCCTCCCTCCCTCAAAGAAGCGTCTGCTTTTTGTGTTTTCCTAACCAGGCCTAGTGTCGTTGACAGATAGCTAATAGGTCATGTGATGCACTTTTTGGCTACCTTAGTTTAATAATACTATTCTGTCTATATGAGGATTAAACTAGTCTTAAAGGGTAAATTTACTATGACCTTTCAAGAGGGTGTATAAAATGGCTACTTATAAGATATAGCCTCAATCCTAATAACTATACTGAAGTTATTTTTTTTTTAAATTTTGAACTTTTTCTTGTTATGACATTAGCCATTAGGCCGGGTATTACCCCATCACACTTTCACCAATTATGTAGTGGCTCACGTCTAGACTAACTACAACCTTGATCCTTCATACAGAGCCTGACATAGCGACGACTCACGACTTGAGTCACCTAACAGGTATATAAACAACATTCATCAGCACTTTCATAGAACTTATCTCACCAGCTGTTGATAAAACATTTTTACATTAATATGCCACACCAGTTCTATTGACTATGAAGAGACATGACGTTATGCTACACTTAGACTATATACTATAATCCTACTAATATAAACCTAGAACAGACTGTTTTCCCCATATAATACCTAAACGTTACATTTATAATACTATAATTTAGCTTTCAAATAGTTTATATATAAAGGATCCTAATGAAGACTGCTTCTAGCTATTTTAACCTGCTTTATTTTAATAATATTATGCTGTATAGTTTAATAGTGCTATTTTTTTTATCGAAGGGTTTAAATAATCTTAAGGTGTAAATTCACTTCGAGTTATTAATAGGCTTAACCGGCTTGTTATTTTGCCCAAGGGTAAATTAAAACTTGCATTGGAGTATTACTTTAATATTTATGAGGCTCTATATTATCTTGACTTATACACTATAGCATGCAATAGAGGAATAGCCGCACTGCATTTCGTCATTTTGACTGGACCCGTTGAATTGTTAGAATTACAGATACCCATAGGCCTATTAACTCCTCACTTAGTTTCCAGACGGAACTTTGTGGCCTTTCCTGTATAGTGTAACTCGATAACCTAACATGGGAAAGTCAATGAGACCTTAGGAATATTTCCGTTGGCGAGTTCCATTGCTTCTATCTCAAATCCGAGGTTCCGGTAGCTTCGGAAGTGAGTTGCAACTGAATGTCGGAAGCTGGCACATTCCGACGAAAACTAACACATTCCGATGGAAACTGACACATTGCGACGGAAGCTGGCATAATTTAATGGAATAATGGGTCTGTACAGAGGCATGGAATAGCGTCCCCAAAATTTCGAGTCATCGCTACTCAGACATCATATAGATACAACTATTCTACATAGATACGTCTCACATCGGATCCTAACCTCGCATTTACCCTCTATAATATTTTAGAACTTAGTTTCAATGCTGACAGCATCCATCAAACGGGCAGCTGCCCTTTCAAGCCGCCATTCCCTATCTCTTTATAGACGATATGGAAGCACAGCGACCCAGCCTACGATCCCGCTCATAATCAATGGTCAGCAGGTGCATGGTTCTGAATCTTCCCCTGTCATCAGCCCTTTGACTGGTAAAGAAGTATGGTCTTTCTCTTGTGCCAGCAAGCATCAGGTGCAGGAAGCTGTGCAAAATGCCCACGACACCTTCAACGACTGGTCCCGAACCAAAGTTTCATATCGCCGCGATATTTTTCTCAAAGCAGCTGAGATAATAGAAAAAAGGCGTGAAGAGCTCGGCGGATATATGCATCTCGAGCTAGGCGCCAATAAATTTTACCAAGACTTCGTTCTTGGGCTGACAATTGAAGGGTTGAAAGACACAGCTGGTAGGATAGCTGGGGCTGTGCAAGCGTTTGCACCGGAGTCAACCCATGAAGGTATGAAAGCTCTAGTGCAAAAAAAACCTTATGGAGTCGTTCTGGGAATTGCACCTTGGTAAGATAAATCTTGGGGAGTCATGCCATGGCTTAGTAGCTCTGCTAATGTCCACTGTTACAAGGAATTCTCCTTTTCATCTTGGACTTCGATCTGTTCTTTTTGCCTTGGCTGCTGGAAACACTACTGTTCTTAAAGGCTCTGAGTTTACGCCCCGTTGTTATTGGGCGATCGCCGATGTCTTGCGAGAGGCCGGCTTGCCAGACGGGTGCCTGAACTTGATATTTCATTCACCTACCGAGGCGGCTAGTACTATAAATACCCTGGTTTCGCACCCGCATGTTAAGAAGATTAATTTTACAGGCAGTACCAGGGTTGGGAGAATTATATCCTCTCTCGCAGGGAAACATCTGAAGCCTGTGCTTATGGAACTTGGCGGAAAGGCGAGTGCGGTTGTACTCAAAGACGCCGATCTAGACCAAGCTGCTCTTCATTGCGCCCGGGGAGCATTCCTCAATGTATGTGACTCTGAACTCCCAAGTGTATGACTGAGAAGATGTTATTGACAAGGACTTATATAGGCTGGCCAAATCTGCATGTCCACGGAGCGTATCCTGGTTGACGAATCTATCTCATCTGAGTTCCAGGAACGTCTTGGTGAAGCAATCAGAAAGCTTTTCGGTGCCGCGGATGACACACCTGCCGTCGTGACTGCAGCCTCAGCCACTCGTAACCGGGGCCTCATTCAAGACGCTATATCCAAAGGCGCACAACCACTGAAGATCTTTGAGGATAAGCATGCTTATGAGACAGATACAAAAATGAGACCTGTGGTCCTTGGCAATATCAACAAGGACATGGACCTATACGCATCAGAGTCGTTCGGCCCCAGTGTGTCTCTCTTCACTTTCAAGACAGAAAAGGAAGCCTTAGAATTAGCGAATGACACGGAATACGGCTTAGCGGCTGCCATTTTCTCGAAGGACTTGAGGGTGGCATTCCGGCTGGCCGATGGCTTGGAGTCAGGGGCCGTACACATTAATTCTATGACGGTGCATGATGAATACTCTCTCCCTCACGGAGGTGTGAAGGATAGTGGATTTGGTCGTTTTAACGGTTACCAGGGGTTGGACGAGTTTCTTTACTTCAAGTCGGTTACTTGGATGGATTGATAAGATTAGAGTTCATTGTCTCAATGTTCCAAAGTGTCGCTGTTAGTGTCCTGCGTCATTATCCTGCGTATGATGACTTGTGCCTGTAACAGCGGACCTTCTAAGCAGATGCTCTAGTTCTCGACCATATGCCTTTAAGCGGTCCAAATCACCCGAAATTAGGTGGCTGGAGTTGATGAGATGAATAGGGCGGCAGATAGGCCGTGATAATCTTAATACCATTGCAATATCTCCTAAACTTGGCGGAGTAGTGGCTTTTATAGCTATAAAGGATCAGGAAATAATAGCGACTATTTAATTACTTAGGTATAGATTAAGTAAAGTACTTCAGCCACTCTAGGCCCAGCTGGTTATATATCTAGTAATTTCAGCTTATTATAATAACTAATTTAATTATAATTATACCTATTTTAAAACTAGTCTTATTAAAGTTCTAGTATCATTTAATTAGATATGATATTTATAATAATATCTTCTATAAGCCTAAACTACTTATAAATAATAGTAGAATCTTTATATTTTACTCTTTAGTAGTTATATTTCTATAACAAATAGGTTTTTAGCCTATTTATTGCTTTACGACGTTATAATCCTAGCGGTTGCTGACAGGTAATGCAGCCCCCAGGGAATTAGCTATTTCTTCCGCAAAACGCAGTTACGAAGGAGAACCCTCGTGAAGCTAGGCCAAGAGCAGATTAAATTATAGTATATTCTTCTAGATTAGATAGTCCCCATGACTTTTGGAAAGTATTACGTTGTGATTGAATGCCATGTTAGCGACGTAAGGCTAAGCGGTTAACTTTGCAGGTACTTGCGGCATGTTGAAAACTTGTTTTTGGGTTATTTTCAAGCGCTTGGAGTGCAAGATGCATTCCGGTCTCACTTAAAGAGTGTGACGTGCTACATGCTGGGTCATTGAGAAGTACACGGTATCTGATTGAATAAAAATGTTGGAGAATGAGAGTCTTTTAGACCACTTGCTTATCTTACACATTATATCGCAATGTTATCAATATCAAGAAATACATAAGGCTCAGGGGAGCCCGTGTCAGGCTCATGAGCTAGTCCGAGCACACGTTATTGGGAATTACAGTGATTCTTATTCATGCTTAATAGAACATCGCTTCTAATTCCCGAACACAGTTAGACTTCTGATGTAGCAAAGTAAGTCGAGCCAACGGGCGTTTGTATCAGCTATATGAACGGTTTGAACTAGGTAAGACAGTTGATGCCGATATTCTCAGCATTGGAGTGCAATAAGTATTGTTATGTTCTTGTCCTCCATCATGGCCTCTCACACGCTTGCCGCCAAGTAATACATTACCTAGGCAGTACCCGTCTGAATAGCTGGAACCACTGGGTAGTTCGGGACTATATGGTCGGCTCCCCCCTTTGCCAGAGAAAGGGGGAGCCATATGGTCAAAAGGATACTGGCACGATCAAACTCTACTAACGCAGTAAGCTTCGTTGCCAACAACCGGTCAAACCCAGATTTCTGCTTGACTTGAACCAGATAGTCGTTGAGAGAAACCCCTTCAGCAGGTTTGCGATATGCCAGCTGGACGGCGATCATCTTATCCTCAGGTTGATGCAGCAACCAAACAGCAAGTGCCCCCTGGGCTTCTGCAATAGACTTGATTTGAGGATAAACCTCATGCAGATAAGCCTCGATATTATTGGAGGTATAAGACCAGCGCTTGAAGTGTCCAATAGCATGATGCTCGATAGGGGCGAAATTATGCGCACCAATAACTTTCCAAGCAAAGCGCACAGGTGAATCAAACGCCGGCTGGCTCCAGAACTTTGTTCCTTCCTCATCAATTGTATACTCATTGGACGTCCAATGGCTATAGTCGACAGCTTCTTCCCACTTGTCGAATAGATAGGCTCCGCCGGTGAGGAGCTTACCAGTGACTTCATCAAAACGGGTGGGAAGATATTTGAGCTGCATTCCAGGGCGCTCCATCATCTCCAAGCTCTGCGGGTACTGGGAGTTGATGATGTCCGACAGAGACAAGCCGGCCTTGGAGAACGTGATTTCGGAGGTGAAGGCTCCCTTAGCCTTGATTTCTCCAACACCATAACCGGTGACAGCCTTTGAGGGAATTTGAGAAGCAGCTATCTATAGTTAGCTTGTTTGTGATCGAGGGACACCTTGCTATTCAAACGCACCCATTGCCATAATGAACTTGTAGCAAGTAAGTGTTACTGGGAAAGTAGGTAGATAGTTTTGGACTTATAAGGGTAATGTTGAGTTGAGGTGAGATTAACAGGTATATGTCGGGCTATGGGATACTATCTATATATCAGTCTGAGCAGCTACGTAGCTCCTAAGATACGAACTATAAAATGAAGAGCAAGAGGTCGATTTGTCAGACCAATGTAGCATATCTCCTAATTTCCCTCGTACGTCGGCATCACATTTGTGCCGAATGTCTACTTCGTTAATAATCGGGTCTGGATCGGTGGGATTTTGGTTCAACACGTTAGAAGGAACCCGAGTGGAGCATGAAACAATTCCGAACCCAGATTCCGAACCCGGATTCCGAAGCTGGATTCCGGAACCGGCATGAACAAATGTCAGCCTACCTTGTTTCATATAGTGGGGCCCATTCCCTGTAGCTCATCTCACTCACGCAACCTTTCGTGCGTTTATTGATCCAAGCATGACAGAGACGAGCGATAATCAGTCATCGATAAGCACCTTCATTGTCGAAGATGTCAAAATCTTTGACGGTCATAAGTTTATTGCCAATGGCTTTGTCTATGTTCGTGACGGACATATCGCCGATGTTGGCAGCGGCAAGCCAGACAGAATTATCGGACAACATACCTTGAGGATCTCTCGACCACAGCATACGCTCATCCCGGGACTGATTGACGCCCATATCCATGCCCTTGCTGGTAACACCAACAGTGTTGAACAGTCTCTGCGCTTTGGAGTCACAACCGTATGCGATATGCATAACGAAGTGGAAGATATCATGCGGCTGAAACAGGTTTGTTTGTACTTTGACTGGCACAGATGATTATGTGAAAGACTAAATATGAATGTAGTGGGTTGCCGAGCCGAAAAACAAGGCTAGGTACTCGGATTATAAGTACGCTGGAATCGGAGCGGTTGTCGAAGGAGGATGGCCTATCCCCGTCATGAAAAAGGAACTGGAGTCAGTTCCTCAGGGCGAGAAAGTTCTAGACGCCATCGTCTCGGCCTGGCCCAAAATAAATACAGGTCATGATGCAAAACCATTTGTCCAACAGCAGGTCAATCAGCATGGCGCATCATATATCAAGATGTTTCACGAACTGGGAGACACCCTCGGCATGAAACTACCGTCACCTTCTATAGATGTGCAAAACTCTATAGTAAAAGCCGCTCATGACGCGGGAGTCATTGCTGTTGGTCATGCCCTCAGCTATAGTGGCGCCATGGATCTCCTCGAGGCTGGAGTCGACGGCTTCACGCATATTTTCCTAGACAAACCTCCTAATGACTACTTCATCAAGGTTATGAAGTCGCGCAATGTTCACTGCAACCCAACGCTGAGCTTATGTGCATCGCAAACCGCCGAGCGACAGGAATGGCAGCAAACATTCAGAACAGACCCCTTTGCTCAGAGTATGCTGATTGAGAAAACATTCGAGAAGCCACTTGGACTAGCCAAGGCAGAGCGCCCAAGAGCCGGTGTACAGCACGCGTATGAAACCACGCGAAAGCTGTACCAGGCAGGTATCCCTTTGATAGCAGGCAGTGACTGTGCTGGTCAAGGGTTCGGTGTAGCATATGGTCTTGGGGTACATATTGAGATGTACCTTTTTGCCCATGAGATCGGCATGTCGCCCGAAGATGTCCTCAAATCTGCTACGTCTACTACAGCTACTCGGTTTGGGTTCGAGGATAGAGGAGAGATTTCGGTTGGAAAGAAGGCAGATTTGGCTCTTGTCGAGGGTGACATTGCTGATGTACTATCTGATCCAAAAAACCGCTGTTTGCCAATCGTGGGTGTTTGGAGAGATGGTGTTCTGGCGTCTATTTATGAGCGGGGTTATCCTGAATTTGTGCAAACATTTGATAGGAATATCTGATACGAATATTCCCTTATGCCAAGGCTTCCTTCTGTGAAAGAATTGAATAAATAGTGATCTGTTTCGTCTGCTTATGGACCAACACAGCATTGTCTTGATATTTTCACGACATTATATGCACCTACAGTCAATGGAAGGGACTGCAATGAGTGGTCATTGGATGATGGCACTTGCTATAGCTTCACATGTAAAGCTGGGCACAAATTAAAGAGCCCTTGAGTAACATCATGGATCACATATTATAATCCAATAGCCATACCACTACTTGATATTCACAATATCATATATTGTCCACTACAATTTTCCATATATCCAGCCCACCGACGACGCCAATGCATATGACTCCAAAAAGCCTAACAATTAATATTGGAAACTGTGGTTATTGTAAGCAAATTGTTTTATATTGAAGTATGTGTTTGTGCATCCATTTCAGCAGGATTTAAGTTATTGTCAATCACCATTCAAACATGTCACGGCCTCATAACCAGTCGAATAACGTTCCTTAACGCGTGACACTAATCCTGCCGGTTTGCGAATCTGTATGATACTTCACACAGCGTTGTGCTTCCGTAAAATTTGCGACAACGACACGTTCGTCGGAACTTGAGGCGATGACCAAAAGGCGGCTTAATAAAGCGATGATACGCATTATTCTTTCCGTCCTCCCTCGATTTTCCCAAGTCGTTGAGCCTCAACAAGAGTAGTCTGGAGCTACAGTTACAATAACTGCTGTGTTGCATTCAGACGTTCAGGGTTTCATATTGCGCATATTCAAGAACGCTCTATGTTTTTAGATGTATCTAAGACTGAAGAATTCGGGACCATCGTAATCGAAGCATGACTTAATATGCAATAAAATATTAAATTCGGGAGGAGCAACGAAACCATCTGCCATATATATGTTCTAATCTACTAAACTGCATCGAAGCCCATTTCCGTCCACCTCCCTTCAATCTTCTCCTGAAGCTCTGGCGGATACGAAGATCGAAAGTCCACAGATCTAAAGATTCTTCCTCCATCATATTCCATAGCTAAAAGGCAGTTAGATACCATTTTGCCTCCCTTAACAGAACTTCCGCGACCGTATTTCCGATATGGAGTAAGAGGAAGACCCATCACCTCGTCAAACACATATTCGTCAATACCTGGTCGGCAACGGGACGTGTATGCCCATATGACATCTGCCCAGTCATGTATGTCCACGTCGTCCCCGATCAATAAGATGCGATTAATTAACATGGTTGACTTAGAATTGAAGGCTATGTTGCCTATAGTTGTGCAGAGGTCATCAGGGTTCGTCTTCATGACGGCAAGCTTCTTACTGTCAACCTGTAGTATGCACCAAGTTGCAAGGGTCTCCAGGGGGGCGACTGCGTCTTTGATTGGAAGATCATGTTCTTGCAACGTCTCCAATAACTGGACTGACGCCATGGAAGCCGTTGTGTGCTATAATAATATAGTCAGTATGCAGCCCTAGAGAAGAACTTGGCTTTGCAAACTTACCGATTCGTCTGTCAGCCGGCCGGGCACGGAAACGGGCAGAATGGCACCATCGCGATAGGTGATAGCATCCACGGTGAATATGGGTTGATTTCCAGCTTCACCCTCAAAGTGCATACCGATGTAATCCTCAAATGGGCCTTCAAGAGCCTTGTCCTTGAGAGAGAATGTGCCTTCAAGGATGATCTCGCTATTTGCGGGTACGACAAGATCACTCAATTCGCATTTCACCATGTCAAGTGGCTTCCCAGTAAGTGCACTTACATAATCTCCCTCTGAAACACCAGGGGGTAGAGGAATTGATGCAGCAATGTTTGCTGCTGGTGGAGCGCCAAGAGATAAAGCCCAGGGGACCTTGTCTTTTCCAACTTTCAACCACTGATCCCTGATCATAGAGTTATGTTGTCCTGGAATGACGAGACATGACAAACGTCTCTTGTCATGGACCATGCCTCGAAAGACAGACCAGTTCGTCCACGATTTATCTGGTGTCTCTAAGATATGTATCCCCCAGGTTTGAAGATATTTGCCGCCATCACCTTGATGCAGCAGCGGAACTGGTAAATTCGTGAGATCTATGTCATCGCCAAAGATTTTATTTTGCTTGCATTGGCCTGTCGAAAGAATATTTGGAGGTAAGGGGTCTCGTGTTGTAGCAAGGCGCATCTTTTCGAGGATATCCTTCCAATTTGAGTCAGGGGGAAGACCGAGGCTACGCGCAATTCGACCGTATCGGAACTTGCTGTCATTTCGAAGGCTGGCAGCGTTTCCAAATATCTTCCAGAGGCCATTTCGAGTACCTTTAACGTTGTGGAAAATCGGCGCCTTAGCGTTGGTTTCGCTGACTCTTCTCACAATCGCCCCAACTTCGAGATTGGGGTCAACTTCCTGATAAATATCGGCAAGATCTCCATCTTTGCGAAGAACCTCCACAAAGCTGCGGAAGTCAAGTTGCGGGTCGCCTTGATTCGAGTTTAGTGATGCTTTGCCAGAATAAAGGCGAATTCTGATTGATGTGTGTTTTAGCGATGATAGAATCTGATGATGGGTTGTTCGGAACATGGTTATGACAAATTATGGGAGAATACAGTTACAGTATTGCTAAACCCAATGGTTATCATGAAGGTCATAATCGAACTTAGGGCTCTTTCTTAACAACAGAGGCCTAGTTCACTCATTACGGACCTTGAGGCGTAGTTCCGTCGGACCGGAACAAGAAGCTGGAATAGATTACAAGGTAATGCGGAGCTCCGGAAACAAAACGGATGGCCACTCTGGGCGGGAAGGGTGATATGTTTCCGTAGAGTTAAAGGCATTGGAATAAAATGTGTGTTTTCTTTTTTGAATCCTATTACCCGGATAAAGATTGATAATCGAAAGTGTATTGCAAGCACTAATTTTTTCTCTTTGCCTAACCCCTACACGACATCTTATTTACCATGAAAGCAGTCTCTTCCGCCACGCGCCAGCTTCTTGGAGTGTCTTCAAAAAAGGTTACGTTCTACTATCCTACACGCCCCATACAAAGACCGTATGTGAGGCTGTTCTCCACAAGCCAATCGTACTTGAGCTCGGATGGAGCACGAGACCAGGTTTACGAAAATGCTCTCCCATCTTTGGAATCAACAAGGCCGACGAGGATCGTTGTCGGGATTACAGGTGCAACAGGTGCCCCGTACGCCATCCGCATCTTAACGCTTCTTCACCACCTAGGTGTGGAGACTCATCTTATCATTAGCAAATGGGCATTAGCCACACTCAAATACGAAACATCCATGAGCGAAGCTGATATTCGAGGACTTGCGAGTAGATCATACACAGCAAAAGATCTCTCAGCACCAATCGCTTCAGGATCCTTTCAGCATGACGGAATGATGATCGTTCCCTGTAGCATGAAAACTCTTGCTGCAGTACGATCTGGTTACTGCGATGACCTAATATCAAGAGCCGCCGATGTCACACTCAAGGAAAACCGCAAACTACTCCTAGCTATTCGGGAAACACCTTTGAGTTCTATTCATCTTGAGAACATGCTTGCTCTTCGTCGTGCTAACGCCATCATCTTCCCTCCTGTTCCGGCTTTCTATACCAGGCCTGGGGGAATCGATGATATTGTCGACCAAAGTGCTGGAAGGATGTTGGACATGATGGGAATATTCACTAATGGATTTGAGCGATGGGAGGGGTTCAAGAAAACTCAGACTGAGATGTAGCCGGGATATGAGCAAGATGTCGATTGAACTATTTCATAAGCTGATATGAACTTCAAGCGTCCCGAAATCAAATCGTATTACTTTCATTTGTAAACCTTACTTATTGAAAAAGAAAACTGTGTGAATTAGCAGGCCAGCCTCGCAATATCCATGGCAGAGTATCTTGCGGGCCATGATCACCTTCCATCGGCAACTCGAAGCCCAAGTTCGCGCCGAAGGAGTTCATTTCGGCCTCGAAAGTACGATCTGTCATGGGGACAAAGGCCTCTTCTCGAGGCTCATTGTTAAGACCAATGCCTTGTGATGTCGCAGAGGGACCTGTAAATGTGGTGTTGCTTTGGAATGCAACGGTTGTAGACGGAATTGCTTCATCAGAGGCTTCTCTCTGTGCTTTACCATACGTTTCCATAGCGTGGCAAAGTTCTCGAATCCTTTTCCCTAAATCTTTTGCGGCCGTGGACACATCTCCGTACTTTTGTGATAGATTGCGTGCTCGTACAAAGCATTCACGGATTTGTTCGTCATATCCTGGGGTCAAATACGGTAACATGGTTAAGCGATGCTTCTCAATGTAGCCCACCACTAGAAACATCAGAGCACAAATGGACGCGAGGATGTGCTGGTAGTACGGTCGCTGGTTACGGTACATATCCGTAACATTGTCCAGTTTGTGAAGTGACCCTGTGACCCTGACTGCCAATTCCATGGCCTGTGGAAGGTATAGTTTGCTCTTCTCGATATCCGACGTTGGAAAGAAATAAGGACGTAGCAGAAGGCTTTTTATCGACGCAGCTCGGTAGATCAGCAATAACAGCCATGACGGAGGTAGGTTTAATGGTTCATCAAACCAAATCTCCATGTCAGAAAGGTCTTTATCCCCGACACACTTTTTCTGCCACTGTTGAATCTGGAAAACCAATAGTTCCATCACATCATCATCGATACGAGTATTTCCCCTGGCCGCGATAGATATAGGTTCGTCAAATCTGTCGCTGATGTGAATGAGCATGTACATAGCCTTTGCATATGGCATATCGTCCTATAGTATTCCAAGTTAGCGGATAAGCTCAGTGTATTTCATTGATGTTTCGAGGTATGTTGCTAAAAGCAATACTAGGTGACTCACTATGAATGTAGGCGTGAGACTAAACGCCGCGTTGGGGAAGTTTGCGGGCAAGCCAGTCATAGCGCTCCATTGACGATCAAGTATAATTACGGAGCACATGATAGCAGAAGCCTCTTTACGTTGAGAATCGGTCTTGAGAATGTGATTCAACATGTCGCTATTGTGGAAGCCAAGTTCCATCAACATACGTCCAGCAATGCCACATAACCTTAATGCAAGCCTTGAGAGGTCGTGGGAGAAATAATAGTAGCCCTTGATCAGATATGTTAGCATGCTCTGATAGGGAATTAGCTGGCTGGGTTTGTTTACCAGCAGTAAGGCGATGGTGACTTGTTTGATACTAGTTGTAGAAGATGTAATCGCGGCATTTGCTGAGGGCATAAAGTTAGAATGAAGGACGGATGCCATCGTTGCAAGTAAAGTGTCTTTAGAGACTTGTGCTACTACAGCCAGCATAAGTACCAAGATGATCAGGTCATCATCGTCAGGCTGGTCGCTCTCTCCACCCAAAGATTGGTTCGTATCACTGGAATAGCATGATTCCAGTTGGCTTCTAACTCTGTCAATGTTGACAAATGGGTGCAGTTCTCCTATGACTCTGTGATATGTATCTGCAGCATCTTTGGCTTCCTGTAGCGATAACCATGGCCGGAATTGCAATAGCTGATAGCGGTCAAAATGACGTCTGGACGGCCAATGTGTTATGGGCGGCAATACAGCATCGTTACCATTTACACTTGGTAGCATGGGTTGGTGCGATGATGATGTGAGATAACCCAGTTGTCGCAAAGTGATTTGTACCAAGTTCATGCTGTAGTCTGGACTTGTAGGACCATAAAAGTAATGGCTAACATAGCTTGGAGTGGTATCGGGTTGAGTGCCATGCGGCCGTCTGTTTGACAAACTTGTGTGGTCACCAGGTGAATGCAATGTGTGGGGTGAAGCAACTGAACCTAGGCTGTGGGTCCCATTACTTTGCGCTTCAACCATGGCCTTGACTTGTTGTAACTCGGTGCGAAGACTTGCAACAAGACTTGTAAGGTCATTGTCATTGTCGCTTCCGCATCCATCACTAGGTACATCGGGTGCCCCTGAACTATTTGGTAGAATGGCTGGAGACGGCGGACCATTGGCTGCGGCTGGTGTCAGCGGCGGCGAAAGGCTTCGATTAGACTCGTCTCTTTGGAACGCTGATGGTTGTGCCGGAGCTCTAGTAACGCTGGCTGTAGCTGTAACTGTTTCTATGCCTGGAGAAACAGTTTCTTCATCGTAAAGGCATGTCCGACCCCGGTTTTCGCAGTAGTCGCATGGCTTCTGGCCGTCGCATTTGCCTTTCCGTCGTCGGCAAGCAACACATGCATGAGCAGTATACGGAGCTCGTCGTTTGCCGCTAACAGTGGGTAACGAGTTCCCTGTCCTTTTAGTGGCGCGTGAAATCATCATGTTGCTTGGTAGAGAATAGTCAAAAGTAGAAACAGGGAAGGCGGAAAGGGAAGACGGAAAGAGAAGACGGAAAGGGAATGACTGAGAGGGAGTAGAATATAAGACTGTTCTAAAGTTTTAAATTAATTCCGGTAAAATCGCTATTCCGAAGACCGGAACTTAAACTAGTGCTAATAAAGGAAGTGTATAAAGCTAATGACGCCGGCGAATGCGGCATTAGCTGCGGCATAATTAACTCCGCATAAGCCGATATTATAATAGTTATTATTCCCAAGGGATAAACCAGTCCATACTAGGTTTGTTTATATTAGCAGATATGTAGGGCATCGTAATACTGAGTATAGCGAAGTATTACGTTTCTTAATAGTGAATAGAGCGGGTAAGGCATATTTAGGTAAAGATGTTTTATTAATAGCTGTTGAGCTAAGCTCTAACTAATGCTAAATGAATATATATATATATACTTAGGGGTTTACTAGATGAGAGGTGAGCGTTTGGGAAAGGCTTATGATGCGTCAAGTGAGCTTGAGTGGAAGGCTTACGATGTGTTGGGTGAGCTATAGAGTAGGTTGCATATGGGGGAAGGCTCACGACAATCGGAGTGAGCCTTTTGTTGATTGGTGAAAATTATGGGGTATACGTGATGTAATCATAGGGATCGTAACACATAATGACTAGTATTGCTTGCAGGTACTAGACACAGAATCAAGCTAGTTTATCGAAGTATGCCTGCCTATAAACTCTGTTGAATGCATAGTGTTTAAGTCCTGACTTGATTTGGAAAAGCATGACTGCTTGAGAAGAAGTTCAATACGGCATAAAAACGATCTGAATATAGAGGTCATGTTATAGGTTTTATTAGTAAGGGTATATATGTCGGGATCGAGTAATCCATTACTAATTCTTGACGAACTCGAGGGCGGAAATACACAAGCCATCGTTACATCATCCAATGAGAGGTCGCCCTCGCTATATGTGACTGATTAAGCTTAGTGCATTATCCCACTTCGTCGCGATCAGACAGTACCTAACCCTTGTCGGTATGGGGAGGCTGGTATATATGCTACTGCCGATGTCTACTGGGCATTCATTATAAAGGTATCGCGTTATCCAGCCCATTCCAATTGATTAATATCTAAACAAGAAATCATATCAGACCTCTCTCATTCTTAAGCATAAGCTCATCTGCAGAATTCCCTTTTCCTGTCCTTATTACCATGTCTTCTGGTCATTGTCTTTGTGGTGGAGTCAAAGTCGAGGTCTCGGGTAACCCTGTCGCCGTTGTATGAACTTTCCTAACCCTCACTTTTCTTTTACCGTTACTGATGTATAAGCAAGGTCTTGTGCCATTGTTTAGATTGCCGCAAGACATCTGGTAGCACTCACGGCCTCAATTGGGTTGTCCCTGGTGATCTGGTTCAACTTGAGGGACCGTCGAAGACGTTCACAAAGCTGAGCAAGGCTGGCAATCCTGTTACGAATACATTCTGCCCTACCTGCGGTACTACAGTGTTTCGTGATGGCCCTGCTGCTCCTGGTATCAAATTTGTCAAGGCGGGTATCTTTGATGATCCCGAGCTCTTGGCTACCATCAAGCCTCAAGGAGAGATCTTCGTGTCTCGACGCCCGGTCTGGATGTCCCCCATTGAAGGTGCTTCTCAGAAGACGGAAATGATGGAGTGAAATGCAAGGTGGAATTCGCTCACCCATTCTGTCTTCGCCCCGTCCATACAATTTTCGTTGAAATGCAGGATATAAGTTGAGATACTGGGATATCGGGAGGCGCGCAGGGTTTGTGCAGTTGTATATATTATGGTCAACGGTGTGGGACAATCACAGCTTAGCGTGGCAATCACGGCACGGGGTATCACCAAAATGTGGAGATTGGCACGGGATGATGGGTACGGTGGCGTTTCACTATGAGGCATTACTAATTCCGATCGATATTCTAATGTTCATTTCACAAATTGAGTTTACCAACATTTCGTTCATATAAAGTCCCTCCACGTTCGACCATTGCCTCTCAGGTTATGGTAATTCATGTATTCGAGCCTCGAGCATGGTTAATCTCGGACGACCAGCAATGGGCTGTTTCAACTGCAAAGACAGCCGTGTCAAGGTGAGGCGGTGCTTCATGCGATAGCGACACATAATCTCTCACACCACGTATGCAGTGCGATCTCAAAAAACCATCATGTGGGCGATGTAAGCGTCTCACCCATATATGCCCTGGTTATCCGGATACCTGGAGCTTGATACACAGACAACAAAACGAGAAGGTTTCTCGCAAGGTACAATTGAGAGTGAATCGTCAGCAACGCCTGAGACAAAACAACACAGATACACCGCCCTTGTCGGCATCGGCCATTCACGCCTCGCCCGTCTCAGTTCCCAGGTATATTGACCAGAACGTCCAAATTGACGCTGTTCATCGGATGTACTATGATTTGTGCTTCGACGCCAGCGTGGGCGTGTTCGTAGCCCTTCCCTTCATAGCTGTCAAAACTTCTGTATCGCCTTTCATGCATGCTCTCCAAGCCGCAGCTCTTGCCCACTCGTCTGCAAATCTTAACCAATATGGACTTCTACCCAAATTGGAATATTGCGCCGCAATTTCTGCATTGAAGAGAGATATCGCCGACCCGGCTCGATTGCAGAATGATGCCATCTTGATGTCCATTTTCCTCCTAGGCCTCTTCGAAGTCAGTCCTCTGATCCTCATTGTTCTCAATGTTCATTTATATGCTAACTAACGAAGGTCATCGTTCAACAACGGTCGGAAAGAAAGGTAGAGACAGATGGGTTAAAATGTCACCCACACGCTACAGGCGCACTCGCGCTTATTCGATACCGAACTCAGCAAAAACTAGACAGCTCTATGGATATAAGTGTCTTCCAATTCTATAGGCATGTTCGTGTAAGTCAATCTTTCTATGATATTGCAAAGTCTCAAACTCTAGCTGACGTTGATATCTTTCGTCTTTTGCCTGGTGCAGCTACTCGATATTTTCCTCCTAGGCACCGACCCGAGCTCACTGGAGGCCGACTTTGTAAGTCCTTGGACGAATTGGGCCCAATTTCGTACAATCGAGCCGCTTATACAAGATTGTGTCGAGCTTACCGGAAAAGTTCGCATTTTGACATCTACACTTTGCTCAAACCTGTTTTCAGCAAATGTAGCTACACTTTTCGACGAAATCATTCAGACAATTGCAGACCTTGGGCATGTCGCATCCCTTGTCGCCCAATGTCCGCGTTCTGCTTCCCACCCCGGGTACTTCAATGGATTACTAAGTCCAGATAATGAGACGAGCGTTGCAATAGCTAAGAGTCTGTACCTGACGATGCGCTTGCACATGACCGAAATGCTTTTATCTCTGCTAGAAGATGTCGGGGCCCCAGTGGAAAGTGTGTTGAAGGCGACCGTAGTGGACGAGCTTTGCGAGATTATACGCATGGTTATTGATGGCAACTTGAAGTGTGCGCAAGGGGGACCTGGTATGACTGCTAGATTATTGCTTATGTCATGGCCCATGCTTGCCGTTCTCCAATCCCATCTCCCCAGCTTGGAAACAAAGGCTTGGGTTCAGAGTTTACTCGATAGGAGAAGGTAAATATCAAGTTGATTATTTATTTTACTTCCGGCCCCGACGTCTCAGGCATATACAGCAGTTTTTAAAAAAACAATTTAAGTCTACCCATTTTTATTAATAAAATTACGGATTTTTCAATTGGGATCCGCAAACATCCTCTTTGTTGGGCCAAGCTCTTGCCAGCTAGCTCTCTCGGTTCACGAAAGTTAGACTTGTCCTTCTCTGGCCATCTTATACCTAAATTATATAAAGATTGCCCTTGCAAGCCTGCTTGCTTACCGCTTTAATATAATCATTCTACTACAAACCCACGCCTTTACTGCTTCAGTCATTCTTCAAGCACTAATGCAACGAAGGGACTATAAGTCCTTAGTCTAATTATCTAATAGAATAACATTAGACCCCCGGCAAGGGCAGCAGCCGTGTGGCATTTAGGAGCCTACCAGTTTGCACGGATTAAAAGGATATAGTTTCACGAAAATAATACTATATCCTGTGTTAAAATATACTATTTTAAAATTGAAAACTTTTCATAAAAACGCTTTATGCATGTATGAGCTACTATTGTTATATATGGCTGCTTATATGCATATTGATATTATTAAGTAAATAAGTAATATAATAGCGCAGTTTTTCCCTGTAGTGAATGAGAAATAGGTTTCAAGAAGTCCTAGAGTCTATTAAATTCCAGGGCCTATAAGACTTATAGAATATATTTATTACTGCTAATAAGCTATATATAAACTATTCTTGCCTTATATACTTTATACTATAAGTAAATGTTTTACCTAAGTAAATACTTTACTTATTCTTTATAGATATTTCTATTATTATTATTTATTTACTTTATCCTCTATTTTAAGCTTAAGTCTTTTTAAAGTTTTCTTATAAGTTTAAAACTAAAGGATTTATATAGATTAAGAACTTAATATATTAACCCTAAGTTTCTTTTAATAACTAATAATTATAATAAAATAATTAATATAGTAATAATTAAACTCTATAATAGGAAGCTAATAAAAGAAGCTTTTATATATATAGTGGCTTTTACCTCCTATAACTTATTATTAAGTACTTTAAAATATAGTTAATTAGTCCCTAGTCTATCTACTACTAGCTATATTATTTATTTAATTAATCTATAGGCCTTATATAATATAATACTGCTTAAAAGAAAAAGCCTTTATAGTAATATTTATAACTATATTAATAGCTATTTCTTTAGCTAAAAGAAGATTATAAATATTATCTTACTTAATAATAATAATAATAATAATAATAATAATAATAATAATAATAATAATAATAATAATAATAATAATAATAATAATAATAATAATAATAATAATATCCTTATTATATTAATTATATTATAATCTCAGCGGTTATATTATATATACCCTATAATTTTCCTCTAATTAAGGCTAAGCTTACTTACACCAGAGTAAGCCTTAATAAGCTTACTTATATATGTAATAGTTATAATTCCTAAGGGATAAACTAGTCTATACTAGGTTTATATGAGCAGATATATAGGGCATTATAATACTAAGCGTAGGAAAGTATTATATCTCTTAATAGTAAATAAAGCAGGTAAGGCATATTTAGGTAAAGATATTTTATTAATAGCTAGTAAGCTAAGTTCTATCTAGTACTTAAAGAGTATAGCTATTTATATTAGTCTAGGGGTATAAGGCAATAGGTATTATTATTATACTAGTCTTAGACTGAGATATATAGTTATTAATCCTAGACTAATATAAAGTTATTTAGTCCTTATTTAATTAGTTAGAGTTCAGGGACTAAGAGTTAAGCTTTTAGTCCTGTTATAATTGGTGCAAAGTGAGTGTGAAAGTGGGTTATATTAAAGTGGAAAAGTGAGAAAGTGGGGTATGTATAACCTGGTTATAATAATATATATATAAAACCTACCCTATAGCTTACCTCTAATATTATAAGCCTTTCTTTAAGGCTTACTATTATATAAGTAACCCTTTATATATATATATATACTCCTTTAGCACTAGATAGGACTTAGCTTACTAGCTATTAATAAAATATCTTTACTTAAATATGCCTTACCTGCTCTATTTACTATTAAGAGATATAACACTTTACTATGCTTAGTATTATAATGCCCTATATATCTGCTAATATAAACCTAATATAGACTAGTTTATCCCTTGGGAATTATAACCATTATAATTTAATTATATAATATACTATCTTAAAACTTTATTAGTAAACTTATATTAAAATATTAAAGTTTTAAACTATATTTTAAATCAAGGGTAGCTTTTTATATTGCAGTGTTTAATTATAACTTAATAATAAAACTATAGTATCTTTAAAATAGCTATAGTATAGTCTATAAGCTAGTGCATTAATTAGGTTTTCTAAGGAGTTTAAATGTAGAGTTTTAAGTTTATATAATACAATGTAAGACTGTAGTATATTTAATTAATTTGTTTAGTAATTTATTTATTTATATCTAATCTATAAGTAGCGGTAATAATTCTTTATGCGGTAGGGTTAGCCAACTAATAATTTTCATTATTATAGACGATTATAAGCTAATATCTGCTAATTAATTAACCCTCACTTAGTCGACTGGAAGGTTGCATTCTTTATACTAAGCCGGGAGTTAACATCGATATATAACTACTATGAACAGTGGGATGGGCAACCCTATTCTTAGTTCTCAGGATGGATAATTTGGGCCTTGTGCACTTTTAAGTCAGCGAGTAGTGGTTAAACTATATATTCCAGGTCGCTAAGTCACGGACGAAATTATGTGCAGGTTAATAATTTATTCAACAACAGATTTCTCTTTGATGTCTGTCGGCTTGCGCGACTCAGCCGTTACACGGCATCTGGAAGAAGAATTTGGGTGGAAGGAGAAGTGATCTACAGTAAAAGATTGATCGCTCGTCTATTATATACAATGCGTACATTAAGCAATTTAACCGCCCAATATATTTTTTTATTTAAAATCTTTTGTGCCTTGATTAACGCCCCTGTGTTTCCACCAAAGCGTTAAAAACCAAAGTTTGGTTTCATATGGATCGTTGTCGTGGTGGGTTTCCACTCAGTTGAGATCAATCTAAATACCGTATCAAATTTGTGCACTCCTCTGCGAGGGGTTAGTAGGTGATGGGGACAGGCTACTCACACTGTATTACCCACTTCTTTGTTCGACGTATAAAAGTGCTCAGCACCGAGCTCAGTGGGTCCATTGAGCAGATGACTTTCATCAGCTACTGGAATGCTTGAGTCCATAGAATTCCCTCCCAGCCTCCACGGGCCCACGCCAACGCTCCCAAGAGCTATGTGTAGCAACCAGAACTTGCCGTCCATTTCCCATGTAAGCTGCCGCGACTGCCCAGTGTGGGTTACCCAGTGCCGCCGACCTGTCTTCACGCACCGCTCTAGAAGCAGACTTGTCAAGATAACACAGAGGCTGAGCGCGAACACGAGTATCAAGTCAACAAATCTGAAGTTCTGGAGGCGGCCGGTTGTGGCAATCTTCTGGTTATGACACAATGTGCGCGCAGCATCAAGCTCCGGTCTCAACGGCAGGTCGGCAAGCGGCTTGTAGATCAGAAAATCGCCGTACATCGCTGGGCTACTTAGGTCGATCCGGCCGAGAAATCGAATAAAATGAGCTTGCAAGAGAGCAAGCCCAGTTTCAAACCAGAGGGTAGCCTCTTTCTGCCACTGATCAGGTGGAAGAGATGTGGAGAGCGTATCGCTATAGGTTCGGTCCCTTGCTAGAAGGCCTAGCAATAAGTTACATCCAGGCAATTAATATTGTTCTTGGACTACCAGTGTGGAATATCGACTTACCTGCTGCCCCAAGACTTTGGGGACCGAGTGATGCAATATTGCCAAGGCCCAGGAGCATTGCAGTACGGTGAAGCGTCATCCGCTGCTTGATATTGAGTTCCAAGGCTTCTGTTTCCCGTAACGCAGTAACAGAGTCTGTAATATTTGTACATTTCCCGGCTCTCGGATTGCATAACTGTATCTGCTCCAGGCAAGCCAGAATGTTGAAGTCATTGTTTCCAAAGTATTGAACAACCCCGTTAACGTCCCTGTAGATGCTAGAGCCGTTCGCCCAGAACAGGGGATCATAAACTGGCTCAGGATAGGTTACAGAGTTCTGGCTGATGAGGCAAAGCGACAGGTCTGTGTGCGCGCGGTTGAATGGCCATGCCCAGCCTTGAGATTTGAGTGCTCCAAGGTAAAATGCACCCCTAGAAAATTAGTGTCTAATAATCTATAGGACATTGGAACAAGGATGAAAGTAATAATCAGGACTTACGTAGCAGTATAGCCATTTGTGGCCAATTTGTTGCTTTGGAAGATGAGAGGAATAGAAAAACTCATGTTGAGCAACTTCTGGAGTTCATTCACAACTATACCATCTCCTTTAGTGCTTGTGACGAGGTCGTCTACGTTCACAGGTGAGCACGTGACTTTCTTCCTGAAATTGACACGGTCCTCAGTCCGTGCATTGACTCCAAGGTGAGTATGTGAGTCCAGCATTCCCGTGTCCCAGGCCATGGAGATATTTAGCGATGACGTATTGTTCGAGAGACATCTATTCTTCCCCCCGAACGGACATGGCTCCATTGTATCGGTGTATGGAAGCTTCTCGACCGGAAATTTTGAGCTGGCAGCCGACAAGGGTTTAGTATCTGAGTAGAATTCCTTCGCATATGCCCGCGCATCCATAGCATCCTTCGTTATGGCGTTGAGATGGTGAGATAGTGGGTTCCGTGCCGCCTCAGTATATAATGAATGTAACTTGGTCCAGTTAAATTCCCAGCTGCCACATTCTTCGGGCATCGCTAGAATTCTGATGGCTTCTTCACTGCGAGTCGCCATACTGGAGGCGAGGATACCGGCGACAGTGGTAAGCACTGATAACAGTGCAGCCAGACACATAAGTGGTACAAGTCGTTTCTCTAATGAAAGTAGCTTCCCGCCCCAGGCACGGGACAATAAGAAGGCGTCCTTCATGGCAGAGAAAGGCGTAACATCATTTCGCAATAACGTTTGGATCTGGAGATGGACTGGGTCAAATTGTGTCTTGTGGCCGAGCCGGGACTGGTGAAGACCGTAAGCAATAATAGTCCATAAGCGTGATCCAGCTAGAGAGATTAGGAGGGTCATTGCGGAGATAAGATATGCCCCATAACGTATAGGAAGTGTCAGTGTCAATTGACCAAGGCCATCCTGGGAATAGTCGCGCCAGAGACCCTCATACGGCACGAGTTGGACCATAGTGACTGGGAACGGTAAAAAAGAGAAAAGGGCGTTGTGCACTTGGTTATAACTATTTGGCTCTGAAGGATGGCTGCGCCGTCCAGGTAGGCATGGGCTAGTGGAATGAGAGAGTTGTGAAATTAAGTAGTGCTAAGGAGCGGGAGGATAAGACAGAGAAATGGAGACGCAAACAGAGCTGGAAAACACGTTTTAGATGGATTTTATCATATGATTCAGCCACCTCGCCATGTCTCCAAGGCTTAACGCCTCCAACATGCATATCGAATTATTATCAAGCAGTGACCTTACGGCTGAACAATAAGACTGCAGTTGCTGGATGACTAGAGGCTCCTTGCAGCTTAGCAAAGATTACTTGAGCTGCGCACTGTTATATTAAACTTTCTTAACCCTGCGCCAATCCGGCTATAGTTCTGGCTAAAGTATCTCTTTCGGTGGCACAAGCCTACACTCCCAAACCGAGCCCTACTTGCCTTCGGTAATCCTCTCAGTATACGTGGGGTATAAAAAGTTATATAAAGGATATAATTTTCGCAAAATACCACTTAAGTCTTACTAAAAGAGTCTTTGCTAAAGTAAACACTTCCTAATTAAGTCTACCTTAAGTATAAGCTAGCTATAACTTTAATAATAATAGCTTTAGTATATACTTATAATAAGCTAATAAACTTACTATTGTGCTTATTTTCTAGCTAAAGAAACTAGCTAGCACTTTATCCCTTTTAATGTAAAATATTTTAATTCTAAAATTAAATCTCTGCCCTAAGAATCATTTCAATTATTTCAACTTTTTATATTTATTTCTCTTATATAGGTATAGATTAAACATATTAATAGCAAGATTATTTATTTATTAAATAACTTGAAAGGCTTTTTTATATATTATTAATAATTATAAGAGTTTAAGCTAAATATTCAGCTATACTATAAAATCTTATATAAAATAATTAAAATATAATAAGTATTAATAATTAATATAGTTTATTTTCTATTAAGCAGGAGTATTAATATTATATAAATTATAAAGAATAATTAACTATACTATAATAAAAAATATAAATAGTTAAGATAGGATATATTCATATAGAGATAAAAGACTTCTTATAATCTTAACCCTACCTAAAGCAACTAGCTAGACTAAAGAAAGTAACCCACTATAGTAAACTACTTATAATACTAATTCTATACTATTTTTCACTGATGGTTTACCACTTATCTTGGTTGACTCTGGCAAAATCCTTCCACGCCATAGGCTTCTCATCGACAGCATTGAGAAATGGGGCCAGCTCGCCCATGGCAAAATAGCCCGGATCTTGCATAAGCAGCATATTCTCATAGATCAACTGCGCAGCAGAAGGGGGCATATAGGACTTGAAAACATCCTCTGGCAACTGCACATATTTGCCCTTCTTGCCCGTTGCCTCAGACCACTCTGCCATCAGTTGATTAGGAGTCAAGTACCCAGCTGCGGCGAAGATATCCTTGCCGACATATTTCGGGTAGTTTACAATAGCCAGCTTGACAAATTTGCCTACGACAAGAGGTTAACGATCGATGATCAGGGCCACACGCTGCTTAACTTACCCATGTCAGAAGAGGCGAGAAATAGAGGCATCTGCGCCTTGTCACCATCTATAGGCAGCGCGAGGATGTACTCGTCATCCCCGCTCTTGCGGATGTACTGGACAAAATCATCCATGAAAGCACCCGGACAGACGAACGAGCAAGGCACGCCGCTATCGCGCATATACTGAGCAATGCGAGCTTTGCTGTCAAAATGAACGATATGCTTCAGACGACCGCCACTCGCTTCTGACACATTCAAGAGCGCCGAAAAGATTATGTGCTGTACGCCAGCGGTCTTTGCAGCATTGGTCACGGCTCTGCCCTGTAATTCTTCGGTTTCGGCTGACATGGTCTCCCAGAAGTTGGTCACAACAAAGACAGTGTGAGAGCCCTGCACAGCCGAAGCCAGAGAGTAAGCGTCGGAGAGGTCGGCCTGGGAGAAACCAAGGTTTAGCTAAGAATCTGATAAAGGGTTCCATCACACGTGCCGCTACCATTTCAACGCCCTTGGCTGCAAGCTCTTTTGCAGCAGGCTTGTTGATGTCGCGGGAAACAGCGCGGACTGTAAATTCGCTCGAAAGCTTCTTATCAGCGAGGATGGTCTGGACGACTGAGCCGCCCTGCTTGCCAGTGGCTCCAAAGACTGTGAGAACCTTTGACATGTTGATGAACTTATTACTCGGAGAACTGAAGTTGTAATTGTGTGTGATAATTATGCGTGAGATGAATGTGTAGCTTTTAATGAACGTGGTGGCCGCAGCCGATTATCTTTATACCACATTCCAACTTTCAGATCAATAGCGCTTCTTCAAACAACTGTTCACTTCTCATAAAACCTACTGGAAAAGTTCAAATGTCCGCTTCGGCCGAATGGTAAAAATGTCCAGTAAACAACGCACCTCGGAGCAACTTACTACCATGGTATTTATTATAAAGAAGCGTACTAACTCTACGACTTGCGACTAAAAGTGGGGGCGCGGGACAATCTCTCGCCGTGTCAAGTGCCTTTGCGTCATAGGCGCGCGCAAAACTTTAGCGTAAGTATGCTGCCATTTCATTGCCGCTTTCAGTGTGATAAGAAAGTGTATGAAAAGGACTTATTCTTATCTAGGTCTAGTCACTTTCGAACAATAGTGATACCCTGCCGAAAATGGCAGGTTTGGGTAATAATGGCCGAGTAATAATAACGTGGAATCAAGCTACTTGATGATAATTACGTTTTAATTTTAGTCCTGGGCTCTCAAAAGAGGAGGGATTACTGGTCATTAGACAAGCTCTTTCTTTGAAGCACTTAGAAGGTATCTCGTTATTTTAAGGCTGTAAACCGACCTACCCAGGAGCTACCAAAGGATTGTTTAACTGGAGGTCTTCCGATGTTTTGCACTGCAAGCCTATATCCTTTGGCAAAAAGGGCTGCCGTGATGTTGGCTACTATGCCACCGATGGCGGGCGCACTATAAGTTCCGAAGCGAGGAATATCAACCGTCTACAGCCGGGGTTACTCAAGGTGTAGTGTTGTCGTGTTGAGATCCCATCGCCTATCCAACGAAGTGGAGCATGCTTGAAAACCTCAGTCTCTGCTATGTATCTGTAGCTCGTATTCAGAAATCTCTGCAACCTTGGCCTTTGTAGATCGTTCGTATAGACCGAAGCCACATTCGCTTAGATTTAGTTCCACAACGTTTACAGCTTGTCTCATCGGCGCCTATTGCTCCGCGCCGGACGTCCTTTTGCCCCGAACTGCGACGTAATGGTCGTGGAGTTCAATGGCATAGGTTTCGTGCCTTGACTGACAAACTCTTGCCAAAGTACAGCCTTTTAATTATTGGAGTTAGAAGACAGCGTTCTCTACAGTCCAAGCCTCACGGGGTCGAAAGAGATCCAGCCTCTCTCTCTCGAACTTTAGTGCAGATTAATAGTTATAATTCGGATCAACCTAAACACTTGTACCAGGGCCCACTAAAACGATCATATGCTGGTGAAAAGATCAAGCATGACTAGATCAAGTTTTCAGCTTTGTAGGGGCGCTTCTCAGAATCAGAGTATCGTCGTTAACCTTAAGCTTGGGGATTATTAGTAGGTTCGACACACTTACCTTTCCGTTATGTAGGCCGCTAATAGGCTGAAAAGGTGTACATTGGCGAGGTCATCAGGATATCAACAGGGATCAATGAAATAAAAGTTCTGTCGACAAAATGACGATTATATTCCAGTTCCCATCTCGCCTTTAGTATTGCCCAGGGTCTTTAAAATTCAGGAGATCATGTCAAAGCAATTGTCGGCCAACCAATAAACTCTTTGGGAGGTAACCTCAGTAAGATCAAAGACGTGACTTACCGGAGCGGCGAGTAGGTAATTGTTAATACACATGCTGCTCCGAGATCATCAGATCTTCTATAGGATCCATCGCTTCAGACCTACTGCTGAGTCTTTGCGCTTACTGGTGTAGAAAATAACGTGTCGTCTTTCGGGGTCTGGAACGTCATTTTCTCAGTCAATGTTAACCGTCTCACGCAGCGTCTTGACCGGTACCATCAGTTGAGCTTGTATATTTTATGAATCTATTCCTTTAACGTGTTGTGTAGATCCAACACATGGATCAATGGCCCTGTATACACTTGAGACAGTTTAGACGCTCAGGAACGTATACGGCGGGCGAACTCGTCAGTGGCTTGATGAATCATGCCCTCTCAGTCGAACAATAGCAGTGGTAGAATCTGTTCATCCGTGTCCTTGTAGATTCCATCCCAATCCCCTTCTATCTCAGGAACCTCCCACTTAACGAGTTCTCCTTGACGGCGACTGATTTGAACAAGCCACTGTGCGCGCTCTCGATGAACCGAATCATACGTTCCGAATGCATGTACCAGAGCATCTTCCTTGCTGATGCCTCGGTCTCCTTTCTTCAAGACCATTGCAGCTTGCTCTAGAACAGCTATAAGCACAGTTGCATCTTCGATACCCATCTCCGCGCCGTATCTGAGATGAGGAGTTGTATCGTGAGCGGCATCGTCGGCAAGCGTGATGCGGCCGTTGGTGAAGGAAGAAAGCGGGTGATCCAACGTGTCAAACATGCCCTAGCGGTTGAGCTAGTCTGGGAGTAACTTGACCGGATCCCGCATGTAAGGGCCGAATCGGGAGAACGAGTCGACGATGTCGTCCTTGTTTGCTGAAAATGTATGTTTCTGGTCATGCGACCAGTCGCCACTGTCGCGAAAAAAGGCTACCACGTTGAGGTACTTGCAGTCGGCGAGGGGATAGGCCATGATGTGCGCGCCGTGGCCTGCAAAGAGAATTTGGCGCTTGGCTAGATGGCCTAGGACAGGGAAGGCTTTGTTCATGTCGACGAGGCAGCGGTATGCACTCTTGTGGGCATAGCGAGGGTATGAAGCCGGGTTGTCTATTCCAGCGACGATCCGACCGACCCGAGATTTGATGCCATCACAACCCATAACTAATATGGGCAGAAACAAATTAGTTGTCTTCGTTCATCCTACCAGTTCTCAGACTGGCAGACTTGGTGAAATGTACACATACCGCCATTGGCTTCCGCAGAAGTACCGTCGCAGAACTTGATAACCATCTTCTCGTTATCTTCACCTTTTGTTATTGTATCCACGCGCTTTCCCAGTTTGAGCCGATGAGGCGAGACAAGGTCGATCATCGCTGCCAGGAGCTGCGCGCGATGACAAAGATACGCACCGCCGCCGGGAGTGCCGTACACCATGTCAAACAGCTTGTCCTTTGACCGTAGCCTGACATCCTCCTGGCTGAAGCCATCGATGCACTGGTAGCCCGTTGGGGACTTGTTGGCTACAGTCTCGAGGGTCTTGGCTAATTTGGGATCCAGAAAGTTCAGGCAGGCTTTCCCACTACCTGAGATTCCGATGCCGGCACCGATTTCTTTCAGTGCGTAAGTCTGTTCGTAGATCGTGACGGGATGTTGCGGAATGTAAGGCCCAGAGCGATGGGAAGACCGACAAACCCGGCGCCGATAATAGAGATATTGAAAGGTGCTGGCTCTTGGTGGCCGTTGGTGGTCTGACTCTTGCTCATTTGTATGTTGGGCGTTGGTGAGGATATTGATATCAGGACTGGTAAAGGTATTGTGAGGTTAAGATCTGTTTGGCAGTACTGGAATGCTGTGAGTGGCTTCTAAGATAAATCACATCCTGTAAGTACTGTACTCATATAAGAGGGACCTACATACTCCAGTTCGGCATCGGCGTTAGTCTATACCGACAGATCTACAGTCGTTTCCTTTCTTGGTGCCCAAGGACGCCGGGTCGCCCTACATGAGTCAAGTCAACGGGCAGTAGAATAGCACCCGAGTTTCCACTTAGTTGTTCTAAATTCTGCCTTTGGCAATGAAATGGAGTCTCAACTAGACATCACCCTTCAGATCTGGGGCTTTTATTACCGATGCTCCGATGTTTACACCGAGTCTTAGCGCACCGAGCCCCGGTCACAATCTAAAGTAGTTTCTTAACCCCCTTGACTCCGATGATTACTCGAGTTCTCCCTCCATCTCCCCCGATACTATTAACGGTTCAAATTTGTTTTATACCCGTTTCACAACTTTTCACATCAAACACACTCTCCATCCAAACCAAACATCGCAGCGCTATCTCCCTTACTACTTCCAACTATCAATAACACCTCCGCCTCGCAGCAGTGTATTGTAACTGGACACTTTGGCACGAGACAACAAGATGATGAGGACAAATGAGGACCAAGATACTGAAGCTCAACGGGAATATGTAAGCTCTAATCTTGACATCTAGATTATTAATAGATATCCAACACGTCTTAGGTACCACAAACGTCCCCAGCGCAAACAAGAGACAACGAGCAAAGCCCCGCCGAGCAGAATACCAGAACAGACGATGGGAGTTTATCAAAGAAATATCCACTCAGTGAATTGGAGAAAGGACTCGTTGGCTGGGATAGCCAGGATGACCAACTAACCCCAGGTAAGCATATCCCCAAACTGAGGCATGTTCCCCTGGCTCAATCGCAGTCTAGAAACCTCACCGACTTCCGAAAATGGTATATCATCTACTTCATTGGCGCAATCACTTTTTAAGCAACCTCTCGTCCGCCATGTACGCGCCTGGAATCTCGTTTATGAACAAGGATTTACACAACTCCTCCCAAACTCTGGGCTCATGGTCTATCAGTATTTTCCTTCTTGGTTGCTCTATAAGCAACACAGTCCCATCCATGTTCTCGTCTAATCACAAATCAGCTTGGTCCTCCCTTCCTCAGCCCACTAAGCGAAATCTACGGCCGCCGCATTGTCCTCAACCTCGCCAACATTTTCTTCTGCGCCTTTACATTGGGCTATGCACTCGCACCAAATCTTGGCGGCCTCATCACCATGCGTCTATTGGCTGGGCTGGGAGGGTCTACATGCTTGACGCTGGGTGCTAGTGTCATGAGCGACTTGTTCTTGCGACAGCAGCGTAGTAGAGCCATGTCCATGTATTCTCTTGGGGTCATATTCGGTCCGGTCCTTGGCCCTATCTGCGGCGGTTTCATTGCTCAGCGCGCAGGATGGAGATGGGACTTTTGAATATTGTTCATCGCAGGATGTATAAACACCGGCGGCATCGCTATTTTAAAATGTGAAACGAACCCCGTTGTGCTTCTCGAGTGGAAAATAAGACGTCTCATATCGGAGCTTGGTCGACCTGACCTCCAGAATATCCTAACATACAAAACATGTGAACCATTGCTGAGCCGTCGTGATGTCCTTAAACGGGGCATTATCCGTCCGCTCAAGTTGCTCTTCACATCACCCATTGTCTTCCTCCTCTCTCTATACATCAACTTTGTGTTTGGTCTTCTCCTTCTACTCTTCACAACCATCGCAAAACCTTTCATCCAGGTCTACGACTGGTCGCCAGAGATATGCGGTCTGGCCTACATTGGCGTGGGCATCGGGTTCTTCATCGGTATCAGCTTCGTCGCAAAAACATCTGATACCACGGTTATCAGCCTCACCAGGAAGAACAATGGTGTCTACGAGCCCGAGATGCAGCTACCGTCTTGTGTCTTCCTGGTCTCTTGATACCAATATCCCTCTTCTGGTACGCTACCCCTTCTACAGTGAGCAATAATATCCTCTGCTAACAGTGGTCCAAAGGTACGGCTGGTCGTCCTACAAACGCACGCACTGGATCGTGCCCATCATCGTACTTCTCCCCTTCGGAGTCGGAATGATGGGAATCTTTTCTGCAGTCCAGATATACCTCGTTGACTCGTTCCCGCAACACGCAGCTTCTGCTCTCGCTGCCATGGCGTTCCTCCGTTGCCCCTTTGGAAGCGTGCTTCCTCTTGCTTGTCCGAGTATGTATGAGAGCTTGGGGCTAGGATGGGGAATTCCTTGCTTAGATTCGTGTTTATTGCAATGATTCCTTTCCCGGCACTAATCTACAAGTATGGAGGAAACGTAAGGAGAAAGTGGCCGGTGAATTTGTAACTTGTGGTGGAACTTACATAGAAGACGAAAGATAATAGTTATCAGGAGACTTCCTATATCCGATGGAAGGGGTTTTAGGGTATAGATATAATTTTTATCAATAGTATTCTCCATCATATTGTTGCCTGCTTATTTATAACGCTTATTATTGACTTTAGTAATACTTAGGAGAACCTCGGGCATCTAAGATAACCTTAGGATGGCCGTACTATTAAGGCGCACCACAGATATAATTCCAATATAACTCGCAAACCCACCCAGTTTCCAACCCACTCATCACTCACTATGAAAGTTGTAATAGGACACTTGAACACTGCATGGCTAGTTATTACCCCAGGTAATATAAGCTATAAGCTGAAACGAGAACTCGGTCATTGGCGCTATGGAGCTGCTATTCTTGTCTCGGCTATCCACGTACTCGAGGAGTTGGGCGTCCTTGTTGGATGAAACAATTTCATTTCCACTTTCCCAAACCTGTTAATTTCGGACAACAGGCCAACTGGTCACTAGAAGTAGGCAGGATCGACGAGTTCCCGCTGCAAGACACAGGGACACAGCGGACACTCAGGACATGTTAAATGCCCGACACCCAAAATGGTCGGCACTTCGCGTTCCAGTGCCAACATCATCGGGGCCTTTATATCTCCGAGGAGTTGCGGTGTATACCAGCCGTGACTTCGGTCGCACACTGGGCCGATCATGACGTTGAACTTGCACCTAATGAGCAATAAACAATGCTGCAATCCCAAGTGTCATCGCACAAAGACAGAGAGACAGAGCAGATACTGACATACTTTCACATCATCACCATGCTTTCATACATGTTGCTCCTAGCCGCAACTGCAGTTGCCATCGTCGTCGTTTGTACTCTGATGCAAGCATACACGTTGACAAAGCGAAACATCCCCGGCCCCTTCTTGACCAAGTTCTCTAGCTTATGGTACCTAAGTCGTATATGGACGCGACAGTGCCATCTGGAAATGATTAATCTCCACAAGCAACATGGTCAAGACAACAGATTCTAGCACTACCGCGCAAGATATAAAACCTTGCTCATAACACAAAGGCCCTCTAGTGCAGGTCGCACCAAATGAATACAGTATCAGTGACGCCGAAGCTATTAAACCGATCTACGGCCACGGAACGCGATTTACAAAGGCACGTGACCCCACCCGTTTGGCCCTAACATTACGGTTGCTTACATCGCTGTAGTCTTTATGGTACTCTGCTTTCGGAGTATCAGGTCACGCCAACTTTTTCGTAGATCACATCCCACAGAGACACGCACAGCGCCGACGTCAACTTGCTTCCATGTACTCCATGTCTAATCTGATCCATTATGAACTCGCCACGATGGAGTGTGCAGACTTCCTCAAGGAGCGCCTCCATGAGATTGCGCAGGAGCGGACCGCCGTAGACCTTCATCACTGAATTCAGTATTTCACCTTTGATGTCATCACTTCCATCACTGTACGTATGCAACTCTGCTGACGTGGTGTTATTTCTGACGCTGCTAGTGCGGTAAACGTATCGGCTTTTTGAACAACGGTGTCGACGAGATTGGCGCCTTCGCGACGTTGAATGGTGCCCAAGCATACATTAGCCTGGTCGGGGTGTACTATGAGCTTCATCCTCTTATGTTCAGCATTCAACAGTTCTTTTCAAATTTTGGACTTGGTGGCAACGGGCTTAACGCCATGATCAACTTTTCGGAAGTGCAGGTTAAGAAGCGACAAGTGTTGTTGGAGGATATTGACCGGAAGCCAGCACCGAGTGACGATTTCCTCGCTAAGATCCTGGCGAGGCGCGAAGAATCCCCAGAGTCTTTCAGCATGGACGAGGTATTAGATTCCTGCGCAATGAACCTCATCGCCGGCAGTGATACCACTGCTATAAGCCTCACTGCCATTTTTTGGTTCCTTATCAGGAACCCTCAGGCCTTATGCCAGGTATTTAGCCTTTCTAAGCTTTGATCTGTGATATTGGAAAGGGACTGACCATTGCGTAGTTACGGGAAGAAATAGATGCCAAGATGGGGGAGCAGGAAGAGCCTAGACCCTTGCCGTTCAAAGAAACGCAGGCGATGCCATACCTTCAAGCCGTGATCAAGGAGGCAATCAGACTGCACTCGCCAGCCGGGATATCCATGGCTCGCATTGTCCCTAAAGGTGGCGCAACGATCGCGGGACACTATCTCCCTGAAGGGGTAAGATCGAGTTGAAACCATAGAAGTATTACAAAGCACTGACCGCCCTCATTTTGGACCGCAGCGGGCGTGAACCCCTGGGTGACACACATCGACCCCAACGTCTACGGGCCTGACGCACAAGTCTTCAGGCCGGAGCGCTGGATCGACAGCGATCCTGAGCAGCTCAAGCGAATGGAGCGGTCCTGAATGCCTTTTGGCCACGGCTCGCGCACTTTTATCGGAAAGAATATCAGTATTCTTGAGATATCAGTTTTGGTTCCTCAGTTGGTGTGCCACTTTGACTTGAACATGGTACATCCTGAGCAGAAACTGGTATGCGATAATGTCTTTCTAGTTAAACAGAAGAACATCCTTTGTTACGTCAATGATAGAGTTGAGTTATAAGTGATAGGCTTATACTATTTATTGTTATATAAGATATTAGCAAGTGTAAGCTTTATTTTTCATAGCTGAATGTATGTTATAATTCATTACAACCGATTGTTGGTTCTAAAGCGCATATTAACGTTGAAATATAGTGTCTTATAAAGTAACAGATTCCCAGTCATTCCAGCCTTACACAGAGGGTGCGGTTTCGTAATATAATAACAGAGGTGATAGGATGTAGATTTATACAAACATCGATGTTATGTTGAGAGCTGGTAGGTACATGGCATAGGCTTTAGACCTATATATCTATAATATTAAGTACAAAGTGATAGGCTGTACTAACTAGAATTTGATTAGGCAAGATAGCTCTGGGACCGGGAAGGTTCTAAATGATTAAGGGGTGTGCTAGGGCATTATATGCGATCGAGATAGACAAGTAAAAAGCGGCATTATTGAGTCACTCAACATGGTGAAACATACAGCAAGGCTGCATACCCAAATTACTGTGCTTCAGAAGTCTTCCTCTGGTACTTCATCGTCAAGTTAATCTGATGAAACTTGGTCTTTAACCTGCAGTCTCCTTCCGTCTGGCGGAAGCATGCCCAAGCAGGTGTTAGTCAACAATCAATTGGCTGATGGGGTGTGCTTCGATCAAATGAAATAAAGGACATAACTGAAAAACAGTATTAGTATGAACTTATATGTGCTCTACCATACTAGATAAGATGTAGTAAAAGCAGAAGGCAATATTATACAGTATGAGGGTGGTTAAGTGCACTGGCTATGTTAAGAAGGTTAGCAGGAGCCAGTTCTTTTATATTCCTGACTGTATTAGATCCTACACAATGCTGGCCTTCTGCCCAACAGAATGCTAAAGTGTAACATTAGTTATCCTATGTTCAGAGACGGAAGGATCGCTCTGATCAGGTGGACTTTGACCTGCAAAGCTTCTTCTATGATTATACGAAGATGCGAGCACTGTGAACGCACGCTGTGAATGTTTTGGAAGCAGCAGTCATTCTTGTCAAGGCACGGCTACAAGAAACACGGTATGTTCGCTCTCCTTCGGTATGAAATCTGTAACAAATGGGCATTTGGACTTCGTCGTAGGTTGTGAAGCGAGCTATCCGCCAGCCGCGGTGAAGTCTCTGATCCTACATTTCAAATACGTTTAAGGCTGAAAGGAAAGGGGTTAAATCTCCACAAATGACCTTCCTATTAAGCATGAGGTTTTTCTCTCAATGTGATACTTCCTACAGGGGTCTAGATGTCAGTTAACTACTATATGTATTCAGGTGTAGATAATGAATGTATATTGCAGTCGATGCTGCATAGAATGTGCTGTTGACAAGGATAGAGTCAACTTAAATGGAGACTATTGCCTAGGTTTTCTAACCATATGCGTATAGTTTATTTAAAACATATGTTACTCATATATTGCCCATATACCTATACTATACAGTCTTACGCGTATGACCATATATAATCATACGCGGGATAGAGTTGCTCCGAGTCAAAAATAATCAGTCAAGGAAATCGGCGGCACTAGAACACCTTGACCATCCTCCTAGTCCTACAGTCTAAAATCAACTCTAGTAGATTTGATTTTATTGACCCACTTTAATCCTAGCAGGGCTGATTATTGCCAGAGTGTAGAGTTGATTTAATAGTATTCTTCTGCCCACTGTCGACACTCTCGGCTTAGCAAGTAGAGTAGGCTCGACGACTTAGTGTTGACTTGGCATGATGTTATTGGGGGTAAGTAGGGAGAATATAATATAGAGCATTTGTGGATTAAGAAGAAAGTTATATACCGTAGCAGTAGAATTTAATTTATAAGCTATAGCTAATAGATATTAGAGTATTTTAATAGATAAAGAATATATATTAAGAAAAGTTTTCTTAGGCATTGCAGTAGGGAAATCTCTCTTTTAACTATTATAACTTTGCTAGCATCTTTATAGTAAGTTAATATAATATAAAATTAACTTAATATTAAGGCACTAGAATCTTAATATAATGTATTTAATAAGCAAGTATCTAAGAAATCCCTTACCTTTTAATATCTTTATCTAATTAAATAATTCTTAACTAATAGATATATTATAATCCTTAAATAAAGCTGGAATTCTCCTTGCCCTTTAGGCTCTTTAAAATAATCTAGAATTAAGCACTTAATATACTATTATTATTTATAAGGTTAATTACTATACTCTATAATACTATTATAATATTATTTAATTATATTATAGTTTTATCTTAAATTCTTAGAAATTATTTAATTTAAAAGAGTAAATAATATTTTAATTTATTTTTAATTTAGATTTATAGGGATTTCCTTTAAAGTTATATTTTATAGAAAAAATAACTAATTCTTTATATATTAACTATAATATATTACCTATTAATAAGTATTAAGCTTATAATCTTATTAAGTAATAATTAAAATAAGAAATATATATCTATTAAAAATATATTTATAAATAAGTTAAATATAAAAGTCTAATTATTATTTATAGCTAATTTTAGTTTATATAAAATATAATTAAAAAATATAATATTTAATAAAGTAATAGCTAGAGTTTTAATAATACTAGCTTTATAATAGATATTATTTAATCTAGAATAGTAATTATAGGCTTAAAAAGGTAAAAAAGACTAAAGTTAATATAGCCTAGAAACTATAAATAGATTACTATAATTCTAGCGATTAATACTAAAGGTTAGTTAATCCTATTATTTATTATTAATTTAAGCTAATATTATCTTATAGATTAATATTAAAAAAATAATCTCCCTAGTAATTAAGTTATTATAATAAGCTAAAATAAATAAATAAATAATAAGCTAGGTTTTAAGTAATTAAAATACTTTAATTAATTAATAGTAAAGTAATTAATTAGTTTTTATTATCTCTTAATCCTTAATAATTATAAATATTATTACTTTTTTTAAATTTAAGAGATATTATTAAGACTATAAGATTATTATACTTTATATACCTCCTTATATATCCTATTTACTCTAGCCTCTTAATACTAAGTATTTCTTAATATTAAAAAATACTTATAGTTAAAAAATAGAATATTTAATTAGATATTTTATTACTTATATATAATAGTTGTAATTCCCAAGGGATAAACTAGTCTATACTAGGTTTATATTAGCAGATATATAGGGCATTATAATACTAAGTATAGCAAAGTGTTATATCTCTTAATAGTAAATAGAGCAGGTAAGGTATATTTAAGTAAAAATATTTTATTAATAGCTATTAAGCTAAGTATATTAATTAATACTAAGTAAATATATATATACTTAAGAGATCCTTAAGGGATTACTTAGGCCTAGGGATTATAGTAATCCTAGATTATAAGTACTCTTAGAGCATAGTAATTCTATATAAATATAATCTACTTATAATTAATTTAATAAACTTAGGAAGTAAGTTTATAATTAAATAGGTTAAGTTATATAAAATTTATAGGGTATATATAATATAACCGCTAGGGTTATAATATAATCTCTCCTCTCTATTAAGTCTTATCCTTAAGATCTGCATTTAACTATTTATCCTTATCTTAAAACTAATAAGTCTTAACTTAGACTTATAAATATTCTTATTATATATTCCTAATAAAATATCTAGTTATATTATAAAGTATATTAACTATAAGACTAAAGAGTATAAACTTCTTACTAAGGCTATTAAATTATTATATAAACTCGCAGATATACCTTATTCTTATTATTTTAAATATTAAAAGGATTATCTTATAATAGTAGACTCTTTATATTATAGTAAGTATATTTATTATAGTTACTTATATAATAATACTTAGATAGCTTCTTTATATAAGATTATTAGTGTTTTGTTTATAGTTTTTTCTTATTTTATTAACTTATTTAATATTAAAATTAATTTGCTAGGAAAAGAAGTTAGAGGATAATAAGAAAAAGGCTAGTAAGGATCTTTTAAAACTTTATAAGGAATTAGCTTTATTATAAGCTTATATTGCTATTGCAGCTAGTTATTTATCTTATATTTAAAAGATAAAAAATAAGGTAAAGGAATATTATACCTTTAAACTTTATTATAGTATTTAAGGTTTAAATAGTAAAGATAAATTAGCTAAAGAATTAAGCTATTATAAGGAAGCGGTTTTTAAGGAGTTATATTCTTTAAATACTAAGAATTTAAATTAAGAGTCCTTAGGACTAGGTAATTTTAATTTTAATTCTTTATTTTTTAGCGAGACTAGTAAAAGTTCTTTAGGAATTATTAGGCATTAATAAGGTTTTCCAGTAATTCCTATATATTCTTATTCTCTAAGTAGTTTTTCTATTTAATTAAGTATATTATTTATTTATTAATTTTCTTTATATCTTTAATTACTTCTGCTTTATAGACCTTTAGTCCTTTAATTTCTTCTGGTTTATTGCCTACTTTAACTTATATTATATTAACTATTAATTTAAGTAAGGAAATATAAAAGATTAAATAGAGCCTAACTTTTAGTAGTAGGTCTAGTTTATAGTTATTTTCTAAAATTTTCTTTATAATTTTATATAGTCTAATATATTTATAATCTAATTTATAAGAGGGTTGTTTTATTATAATGTTTTTTATAGCTAGGTAAACTATCTTTCCCTCTTTAAAGGTTAATCCTTTAACCTTCTTAGCATTATAGTATTTTTTTATTCTTTTTCTAATAAATTTTAATTCTATTTTTATTTCTTTATATAGGTTTTTTAATTTATTTGCTTTTAGGATTACAGTAGGGTTAATTATCTCTATTTTGCAATTACTATAATAA